CGTATGTGATTGGCTGAAAACCTTCATTTTTGACAATTTTTACCCATTTCCACCTCTTTTCACATGTGATATTGATTTCAATCTTTGATGATCAGGCTATTCATAATAATGACCTTTAAATCATTATAAAACTCTTGGAAACCATGGAATCCCTTGATCACATCATTACAAATGTACTAATCCGGTAGTACCCTTGCTTACCATCCTCAAATTTCCCTCTTTCTTGAATAAATTCACTCCTCTCTTATAAATCCTCATGATTAGAGTTTTTTATCACTAATATGACCATGATATTCTACATTCTAACCTTCTTTAACCGTCAAATCCAATATTAATACCCTAAAAACCATCTTCCAACCTTTTGTACCCATATTTTCAACTTTTTCTTCAATGCTTGATCTTTTGATCATCCTCTTTCATTCCTTTCATGACTGATTTCATTCTATTGAATATAGACCAACTTTCCTTAATAATTAATCTCTTAACAATATTTCTTCAATTGATTCTTACTGATTTTTACTGATTTTTTGATTTTTTGATTTTTTATCATCTTCTTGTTACTCTTATCAAATTGTGTAATTGATATATGAATAAAAAAATGTATATAAGATGATTTATTAGAGCATCACCACCACGCCTTGCAAAACAGCAAATACAGGCTGTATCCATGTTGTGTGGGAAAAGATCCAAGCCGCCAGACCGTGTAAACAGTCTGTATGGGTTACTTGCCATCCAAATCTTGAATGGGAGAGTGCAGATTTGGTCGGTGCGCAAAGACAAAAATTTCACCAAAAATGAAATGACTGTCACACCTTTGGCTTCCATTCACCAATGTGAACTCACAATTTGATCACATTCCTGTTTCCAATCACCACCATTGGGCATTTATTGCTTTTCTGCTTCAGTATTTACACAGCCACAATTTTGTTGACCTCCGGGCAAATCTGTGATACAGGCTGGGACCTGTCATGCAGTCGTTGTACAGACAACTCTTCTGCTGCCAATGGTGGAGATGCTCTAAGAAACTGTAAGACCTCTGCTGACCATCAACACCACCAATAGAATATGTCTTTTTACCACAAATTTTCAATTTTTTTGATTATATAAGGGATCTTGGACACCACACCAATTCACAATAAGCACAAGAATAACTTTGCAGTGAAAAAAGACTTTCTTGCACAAAATATGAGAGCTGCTTGTATGCAAAAACATAAAAGCACAGAGTTTTAAACATATCATTTATTGTGAAATGTTATGATCCCAGGGAACTGGTGAAACCTCCCGTGATATATTACATCATCTCACATGTCACATATTGAGCGTGTACTCTAGCTTGTAGACCACACCATCTGTAGCTCTGTTCCCTATCTGACAATCTATCATATAGACAGAACCACCTTGCTGAGCCTCAGACCTTGAAGAGAACCAACCCCGACCCCTGTCCTTAACATGAAAGCATATACAGTTGTTTTCAAAAAGAATGAAAGATCAATCACAAAAATTGGGCATTGTGGCCTGTGTGCACTGTGCATGTTAGGGGAATATAGGCACATTCTGACAGCCAGATACCTCTGGTACACTCATATTGTTCAAACTGTAGTTTACAATACAGCCAACTAGCTACAACACTTTTTCAGCCCTTAAACAAATCAAATCATACTACATATTCAGACTGGCTCATCAAGTGTTGATGGCACAATGTTCTGCAAGCCATGCAGTAGGATTTCTGTGGTGCATGTTCAAAGTGAATACCAAGCCTATGTGCTGCTTTGGTTTTTTGCTCCTTGAAAAATGCCGAAGTCTTCTTCTTGACATTTTTTTCATTTTTTGGCCACTGAGGTGCACCAAACACATCCGTCCTAATGTGATTCATGTCGTTGGCACATTCCCACTGCATGTTCAGGGACTATTCCCAATTTTTGCCAAAAGAAACACACCAAGGCTCAAACCAAGCTCTTGTACATCAGGACCAACAGGTGCAGGTGAGCATCACACTATTTGACTAAGCCACATTTTATGATGGTTCTTGAAGTCAGGATTTGATCAAAACCGCACTGGGTACATGAAACAATAGGCAGTACATTGTATCTTTCCAAACTACAGTTTGGTATCTGTATGAGAAGATTGGCAATATTGGGCCACAAAGATTTGTTTAAATTCCAGCTACATCAATTATCCGCACAAGCCTCCAGTCCCAAGTTCTTGCCTTGATTTTTCATCCTTTTTAAGAGCAACTGTAACAAACAAGACACATAATCAAAAATAGAGAGAACAGAGAACTGAATGCCTATCTATGAGTCATCCAAAGTTGTAACAAGCACATCAATAATCAAAACATGAGAGCTGCTGAAAGAAATGTAAAAGTGAAGAGTTTGAAACTGATGGGGATCAAACTCTTGCAGATAGAAGTATATATAGAGGAAACTTGACAATGATAAGAGTTAAGAACGAAAACATGAGACATATGACATCCAGTTCTCAATATTACTAAGCAACACATATTTGATTAAAACACAGAGACAATGGACACAAAGTACTGCAGATCATAACAAAATATAATATCACTCAAAACATCACAATTTCAATAACAAATATAACATCAACACAATATCTCACAACAACAGAAACAAGATATGCTGACTGTGATCCTGCTGTCAATGATTTTGATGGCCCACCGACTGGTGCTCCTGGTAAAAAAGGGAGGCCAAGTAATCAATTCTCTGAAGCAAGGAAACGGTTCTGTGTGAGGTCTTATGCTGATTCCTGTGCATTGAATGACACTGAGTCCCACCACAGCTCTTTAATCTTGAATCCAACATGTGGTAATTCAGAATTTGAGACCATCAATCATAGACCTTGGAAGTTGGAGCTCTTTGTGGATTTATATCTTCAAATGCAGTGACAGTGTTTGGCCAGATGCAGAAAGTAGGTAGCCTGCTCAAGAGGGAAGGGTTCTATGATGAGTGACAAGAAGAGCCACTGATTCAATTCTTCGAAAAAAGATTCCCCAAGCTACAAAAACCATTCACTAACAAACTGATATAATATTGGGGTCCCCCTGCTAGGGGCCATTCAAAGTTCTCACCGGAATAAAGTTTGTGGTTCTTTTATTTGTCAATTATTATAGCAGCAAGACAGAGTACAATAAATTTTGTTCTTTTGCTGTGATTCCAAGATACCTGGTCTGTTGTCCTGTGGTTCTTACTGTCACTCACCATATGCACACTTGTCCTTGGAGATTCTCAAGGTGCAAGTTGTGGTTCAACCCAGGAAGGTGAATCAAAAATACATGGCTGTGATCAAGAAGTTTCTTTTCCCTGAACAATTTCCCTGTAGTCCTTGCTAAGATTCTTGCAGTTCTTTGACAAAATTCTATGAAACATTGGACATCTAACAGGTTCTCTTTGAAGCCTCAAAGCCTCCCAAAGAAAATTTTGCCTTTGGAATGGAAAGGTCTGATGTACTTCAGCCCAAAAAGTATGACTTTGTTTATCACTCATAACGCTTGAAGAGTCTCGCATAATGGTCTCACTGAGACCCAAGAGTCTACTCCACCCTGAAAACTTGATTTTGGAAGGTCAAGGAGTGATATCATTATTTTCAGAGAAAGCATCCATTTTTCTATCTATTTCAGGAGAAATATGATTTACTCTGTCTATCTGACTAACCAATTGACAAACCCTCAGTGTTAGTTTTTTCATTGACAAAAATGGCAATGTTATTGGCGCTTTCTCTTTGGAGACAAGGAGGAAAGGAAAAGCTTATTCTCAAAAGACAGCCAGAGGCAGATGAAAGCTGATGATCTCAAAGATATTCCAGGAACTCCCAAGCATTGGGAAGTGCTGGGATGGGTAAGTTTTGATTCCATAATTCACGGGCTGTGGGACTACCAAGCTTACTAACAGGGTACGACAGGCCCAAATACAAAGGAGGTTTGGGTGATCTACATGGCAAGGGCCAAGACAAGTTTACAAAGACGCAGATGCAGAAGGATGAGTGCAAGGAACAATCGAGACAAGCCGAGTGACTATAAATAGGGACTGGGCGAAGTTCGGACGAGCACAGGATTTTGCCACCTGAATTAGCGCAAGTATAGCAAGGAAGTTGTCCGAAGAGATTTAAACAGGAGGAACATATCACTGACCTTTCGCATGTCCAAGTGCCCCGTTCAAAATCTCATTGGGATGACAAAGCTGAGTCCGGGTTCATTCCCAAGGCCATATTCCCACAGACCCGATTGCTTGCTCAACTTCTATAGGATGTTCCAACGTCTATCTTGCAAGGGGTTCTTCATGAGGACCCCAACCCAAAGGTACAAACTTCCTTTTCGGGCTCCCCCGTGGGCACCACCACCGGAGAGCTCAGGGCCACAGCCTTATCTGTGAAAGGTATATCAGGCAATCCTGATGCGGTCAGCCTAAGGCTTTTGGCTGAGGAGTAGGAAGTTTTGGATTGGAGAGCCCATCAGATGATGGCAACCGGCTATGCGCCACCCTATTTTTTTTAGTCTCATGAAGTTGACTAATAAAAATAGGGAATTTTGATATTGATTCAACAGGGGCTGGATTGCTTGCAATAGTATTTCAACTACGGTTGAATTGGATTTTTGCAGCGCTTCGCCCAGTCCCTAATATCAATCTCGAAGCGCATCAGCAAGGTCAGATTTGCGTGACGAGTTGCATGTGCGGATGTCTCTACGGTGATTGTGGGCTGGTATCAACTGTACAAGGCAGAATTCACTCACGAGATGTCAATCTGTGCTTGCGTTGCATCGTGGTCTGTTACCAGTGAATTTTGGCGCCGCTCACATAGCGATGAGGTTGCAGGGGTAGGATTCGGGTCATTGTAGGTAGAAATGAGGCCTACACGGGCTTTTTGCCCTGTTTAGGGGGTCATTGCCTTTGTGGGGCTTTTTGCTCACAAAAGTTCGGTCTTTCGGGTTCACAATGATCAAATTTCATATCGGACAATTTCGCAAATAAACATTACATCTCTCATATTCACTCGTCAACACAGTCTTCGTCGGAGTTGCTTGAAATGACGGGTTGGGCATCGGCAGCAGCCAATGGAGCAGTCGAGTTGTCAGCAACGGTGGGGGCCGAGACCGTCGCGTTGGCATTAGCTGATGTGGGGGCAGTAGCGTTAGAGGACGGGGTGGTTGAGTTGTTAGAAACATCGACTGTAAGCGTATCGTTGGCTTTCGCGGAGTCAGAGGGAATAGCTGAGGCGGTGGTGTTGGCGGTCGAAGTCGCGTTCAGATCAGGGGTAGCATCAGACGAAGTGTTCATAGACATAGCATCACCGGTCATGTCTGCCATTCCCATGTCAGTACCATTGAGGGAGGGGGCATCAGCAACGGGCGAAGTCGTGTTAGATCCAGCAGGTGTGTCAGTTCCGTCTCCTTTGACGCCGCCTTGGACTCCGGTATTAGCAATTCGGGCAGCAGCATCGGCAGGAGTAGCTGTAAAATTCGGACAGAATGGTCAGCAATGAGATCAAAAAGAAGACAAGAAGCTGCTGAAGACTTACTGCAACCAGGCACGGAACCGGGCTTCAATAACAAGGCTATATAAACGAAGCAAGAGTCGAAGGAGTCAGCTAACGGTTGAGCAATGATAACAGGGTGCTTAAAACTTACGTAATTCAAAGCAAACTGTAGGTGGGGCACAACCAAGGCTAACATACTTGCCTACTACGCATTGAGCAAAACCACCTTGGACACAGGCATGATCGCCTTCTTTGCAGGAGGTTTCCATCGTCATAGTCGCATATTTCGCGTTGAGACCTTGGGCCAATTTTCCATTGTTGAGTAGAACATCAGGTGTGATAGCTCTTCGCTGAAGTTCTTGCGCATTAGCGGGGACAAGTACGGAATCAAGGCTTGAAGGGTATGTGACAACCCGGTTGACGAGAAGGGCGGCGACAAAAACGAAGCTATTCATAGTGTGCATGTTGGTTGAAGGTAGGTTGAAGGAAGTGTTAATTTTAGAGTGAGCGTAGATTTTATCGTGAGGTTTAATTGCGGTGATTTGATAAAGTGTGGTGGGGTGGGGAAAGGCGACATGATGGGTTACGAGGTCACTTCTTATAGGTTTTCGACTGAAGTTCAGTGTGCATTTGAGCTCGATGCTGGGGCCCATGTTCAGCATGTGAGGATGCTTTTTGATTTTCGGGCTTATGAAGTTGAGGAGCCGAAAAGTCATCCAAAGAGCTATTTCAGAACGACGCGCTCATTGGTGCTCAAAAGTGGAAAAAATGAGTCTCACATTATCAGCGCAGGATTATTGAGGGGGCCATAAGCACCTATCAGCTCACAGTGAGATAGGCATGTGTTGAGCTGCATAGCCGAATTCCAGGAAGTTGGACATCAGATGGAAATCGACTCACAACATCTTCTTCCATTTACAACAGAAATTCTATTGTGACTCAAAAGACTTTTTGATATGTGGATGCTTTCTGAAAGTCAAGTACAATCATCCCCATCAATTAGACAAAGAGTCTGCTTCGATCCCACGAAGCATTCATCTGTGGAAAAAAACCTTCAGCTGCTGTCCAATATCGAAGTGAAAGATTGAAACTAACCATTGTCTGGATGTAAAACCATGCAGCTTGAAGACAAAAGCACACCACAAGCTTGAAAGCACAAAACGAAAAGCCACTACGAATTATGTGAAAACCTCAGATACCTGAAATTGAATACGAGTTCAAAAACAGTATAGACTCTCGAATCTTTTCGCAAATCTGAACATATCCCAAGTGGGTCCGCAACTGAGTCTGCATCCATCGCTGATCTTGGGACTCGGCCATTGGCAAGTGAAGGGAAAAAATCACACGCATGGAAAGTCTTGTCATCTGTTTGTCAGTCTGACTTCTAGTTTAGCTAGATACTTAACACTCACTACAGAAGCATGAACATTGAAAAGGATAAAGACAGCTAAACAGACACAGCCCTTGCATATGCCCAATTAAACATATGACATATCAGAATTCTTCATATCTTTTAAGAGGACTGTTATCTGAATAACCCAGAACACAACACGGACTCATAAATTTATGTAAGATGAGACAATTTGAGCGGACTCAGCAAACATGTGCGTGAAAATTTTGGCTGACAGTACAAGCTCCAATGATGCGAACAGCGTTTCATAGTACTTGTGCAATATTTAGAAAGAAAATGCTCGGATTAGAGTTTGTATCTCAACTGGTTCGAGCCAAAAATACCGATCCAAGTAGCTTGATATGTCTGTCAAAACTACTGTCGATTATTTTGGGTGGTAATTTTATGTTGTAGATCTCTTTTTTATTCTCAATGGGATCTGCTCGAAAAAAGTCATAGTGACTTGTTTTATGAGCAACTCACGGGCCATTGTAATTTTTTTTCAACACGGTTCTCATTCTTCACAAACTTAAAAAGGCAAACAAGTCTAACTCATAAACAAAATATGACAAAACCAAAACACTCTATCTTCAATCCTCAACACAGTCTTCAACTCCCGAGCCATCTGTAGAGTTGGTCGAAAGACTGGCCTTAGTATCAACAACAGCCTTTGGCTCAGTCGAGTTTTGAGAAACCGTAGGGGTCGAGACGGTCGTGTTAGAGTCAGCGGAAGTGGAATCAGTAGCATTTGACAAGGTCACGTTAGAAGCCCCATCGACAGAATCGGTCGAGTTGGAATTGGTTTGAGTAGCGGTTGAGTTGTTAACATCAGTGTCTGGGAGCGTGGCGTTGGCCGCGGATGCGCTGGATGCATCTTCATCCGCGGAGTCAGCTGAGGGAACATCTGAGGATTCTGAATCGGTGGTATTGGCGGTTGAAGTTGCGCTTAGATCTGGGGTAGCATCAGAAGCGGTGGTGTTCATAGACATAGTATTGTTGCTCATGTCTCCCATTCCCATGTCAGTTCCATTGAGCGAGGGGGCATCAGCAATAGGCGAAGTCGAGTTAGATCCAGCAGGTGTCTCAGTTCCGTCTCCTTTGACGCCGCCTTGGACTCCGGTATTAGCAATTCGGGCAGCAGCATCGGCAGGGGTAGCTATAGAAAACAGAGAAAAAGAATTAGCATACATGATTGTAGAGAATAAACGTATAAGAAGCACTTGGTTGGAAACTCACTGCAAGTAGGAACAGAGCCAGGCTTCAATAACAAAGCTAGAGACGCAAAAAGGAGAGAATAAGATTGTATATCAGTAAAGGATTCAAGTAAAGATAGAAATATATCAAAGAGTAGAAACTCACGTAATTCAAAGCAAACAGTAGGTGGGGAGCAACCAAGGCTAACATATTTTCCGGAAACACATTGAGCAAAACCACCTTGAAGACAAGCATGATCGCCTTCTTTACACGAGGTTCCCATCGTCATAGTCGCATATTTCGCGTTGAGACCTTGAGCTAGTTTTCCATTGTTGAGTAGAACATCAGGAGAAATAGCTCTACGTTGAAGTTCTTGAGCACGAGCTGGGACAAGGACGGAGTCGAGGCTACCAGGGTGTGTTATGACCCGGTTGGCGATGAAAGCAGCGATGATGATAAAGGAGTTCAAAGTGTGCATGATGTTTGATTTTGAGTTGAAGGTGGTGTCAATTTTAATATAAACGTTGGTGGAGTTTATCGTGATGATTGAGTGAGTTTATTTGATAGTGTGAATAGCTTGTGATAGAGTATGAAGTGGATGAAGAATATGATCAAGGATGGTTTACGAGTTCACTTTTTATAGTTTCTTCGACTGAAGCTCAGCGTGCATTTGGGGTATATTTGCTTAGAGGACCTTCCTCAGCTCATGATGAGATGATTCAATCTCCGGCTTATAGACTTGAGGATTTGAAAAGTAAGCTGAGGAAAATTCATTAGTCCCATTGCTTTTGAACTCGACAAAGGAATGACGCTTCAATTTTCTTGATCGATAGCTTGGGATTATTGAATGAGTCATAGGAAGATTGTACTCATTATTTGTCAAGTCAACTGCCGAGGGGATGTCAAAAGCACTGATCATCAAAGGATTAATGTCGATGGAAGAATTGCTACTGAAAGGAACTTCAGCTCAAGGGGCGCTAAGCAAGAACTCAGGCCTTGGAAACCGGAAACGCTAAATCGCCTTTGTGATGGTAAATATTGTCTAAAAGTGAGGGGAAAGACTCGTCAGTCGATTGAATATAGTGATCGAAATGTGTGGTGTCTTTCTTCATCTTTCTCACCCATATCCTGCCCTTAGTGGGAAGTAGATCAATCAATCACTCCTTCACTTTGTCAATCGAGACGGAGCGTAAAGAACTGGTTCGCTCAACCCATTCCTTATCTCATGGCAGGGCAAGTTTAGAAAAGGCCTTGACAGGTGATGAAGATATCAGGCACTCTTACCAAATGAATTGGTCTGAGTGTGATGGGATTGACCAGCGTATCAAAATGGAAAGAGCAGCTGAGAAGGTTTAGCACTCTTTTTCAACTACGAGATTATTATTTTTCACGATTGAAGAGTGGCTGTTTTTTGTTATTGAGATGGATGTTAATGTTGATGAGAATGAGAATGAGAAGAAGAAATCAATTAAAATTAAAAATCAAATTTATAAATTTCAAAATCAAATTAACAAAACCAAGAATAGGAACTTGACCGATACTATCAATCCTGTTGACCTCTCTCGACGTTCAACTCACTCTCATCATTCAACTTATCAACAACAACATCAACATCATCAACAACAACGACAACGACGACATCATCGAACTAAATCAACCCCAGAGGAAGGATTCGAAGTATCTTATAAAGTAAGTGCATCTCTCATCAATCTACTTTATCATTCAACTTCTAATCATTTACTTTGATCAATTTTTTGATAACAGGAGTGGGCCCAGCGTGTCAAAGCCACTCGAGAGTCTATCGATCAAGCTGATCAAGAAGAACAACAGAAACTAAGAAAGGTGATTGCAATTCAGTGACTCGTGACTTTTTCCTCCAAGAACAAACCAACTGATTCACTTTTCAAACAAAATTTTACGGTCTTGGATATCGCTTGCAGGAGATCCTCACAGCCCGTCAGGCTCGCCGATCACGCCAACTTTCAATCGCGTCAACTCAGCCCGAGGCTGAGATATTCGATTCGTCTCAAGAAACAACGATCGGTTCTCGATCAAACACTCCCTTTACCTCTTTCAAGGAGCCAACATCGAAACAAAACTCATCTCTCTTTAGGATCGATCTCACCAATCGTATCCATCATATCAAAACTCATCCAACTCTTGGCCAGTCTCCCGAGCGTCCTAATCAGCGTGGTCTTCATATTCTTCAGGGCTTAAACCAGATGTCCGACAACTTTCAATCCAACCCAAAATCTGCGGTCAATTCCTATTCCCGCCATCCTTCCGACCTTTCACAATCTAACCTTCCGAACAAAAATCATGCAATCCAGTACTCTTCCAAGTTTTCCCACAATGATGACAAGAAACCGATCGCATTGGCTCATTTCATGGGTGCAAGGAAAGATTTAAATGGGCCTGTATTGACCAAACAGCGGGTAGACGAGAAAGAGGTCAGACCTGAAGGTTGGGAACTGGCTGAGAAAAGACACGAAATCTGGTCTAAATCGAGCTCAGGCGGGGTAAATAGCTTGGCAAATTTTTTAGGCGGTGGCTCAAGTGCGAGTCATGTTCTCAATCCTTCTAAACGCGCGCTACCTGGTATGGTCAGTCAGCATAAAGTTGAAGATGAAGGTCCCGGTCGAGATAATCAACAACCGGTGTCGATGGGAAATAGCAACACAGAAAAATTCAAGCAGCGCAGTTTACCCATGCCACCTAATCACTCGACTGCCTCTTCCATGCCTGTCACCTCTGCCAATCAGTCCACCTTCCTCAAGCCCAAATCTTTAGCCGATCGTTTGGCACAGCTCGGTGTAGTGAACGACGTTCAGCACGCTAAACCTCATCTCGCATCTCCTAATCCAAATCAAGGCTCTACGTCTCTGAGCACATCACCCATGGCTGAAAAATTTATGGATCGTCACAAGCCCTCACCGTCAATTGACAACGAGAAGGATGCTTATACGGATAAATTGCCCAAGGCCGGACCACACCATGTCATCAAATCAAAAAGCACTTACAATCTTAGATCGACCGCTCCGTCAGATGATATCGATACCAAAAAAAGTCCCAGACCAGCTAGTTCCTTATTCCCTGCTACCAAGCCTGGCGCCCCTACGTTTTCCGATAACATCACCGTCCAACCAGAGCCGATAACTGTCAAGATCGAGACTACAAGACCTACTTCAATTCGCTCTAACACCACTCAAGCTGTGCCGACCATAGCAAATCACAAGAACAGCAAGTCGCAATCATACCATGTCCCTCCGCACGTATCCGATGAACAGACAAATAACAATTCTGGTTTAAGCGCGCCAAACAAAGTACTCACCGCCTCTCTTTCAAGATTAGCCGGCTCTAACATTGTTGCTCAAAGATTGCAGTGGTCCAAGAGGAAAGAGCAGACTGGTGGTCTTGTTGACGAGTTCGGGTCTTCTGGCAAGACCTCTTCACCCCGTCTCCCTTCGAGTCAGCTTTTCACGAACAATCAATCGTCAATGAACATCACTCCTTTGTCCGATACAAGCAATCATGTCGCTGCGCCTAAGAGACATACTATTCTATTCGAAAGGGCAAATCAAGTCAAGGAAGATCCTGAGAGACATGTCAGTCCACTTAAACCCCTTACAGAGTCTCGCTTTCGGCATTCCGAAACAAAATCTGTTCAATCTGATCTACCTCCAACACCAACGACCCCAACTGCGAAGAATGTAAATCAATACAACAAGTCAAACCGGGACTCTTCTGGCGAAGATGACGAGCTCCAAGGTGAAAACCCCCATGACCTCAAACGCAATAAGCAAGAATTTGAGATGCCCCACACACCGGCGTCGCCTGTCAAATCAATTGCCACTGATTCCAAGACACCCACGACACTAAATAAATATGGATTAGGTGTTTCATCAGGCTCACCTCTCCCTTCAATGACGTCTTCTCCATTGAAGCATTTGACCAAGAATCGAGCACGAGGGCCGCAAAGATCTGGTAGTCGAACTATCAGCCAACCGAAGAGCCCGGTCCCAAACCGTCGTGCTGCTCTGACAAAGGCTTTACCAGAAGTTCCGGGTTCGCACAAGTCCACTCTTCCCTCAATTCCATCATTCGCACCTGTAGTCAAGAAAGGAACAAGTGAATTAGCGGCTGCATGGGAGAATCAACTTCAGAAGAAAGCACAAGATGTCCGGCCAGCTAGCTTGATCCAAACTAGTACAAGACCTTTACCCGCTCCTCCGACTTCCATGAAAAGTACAACTGGCTCCAACATGGGAAGCCGGTTTGCACTTCCTGGTCTAACAGAAACCGATTCTCCACCGGCTCTTGGTAATACTCGACCTTTACCGGTCCCACCGAATGCCGCGGCCACGACTGCATCGGCTGTCTCGCCCATTGCAAAGAATCAAGATTTCCAAACTGTCTTGCCTCCTACTACATTGAAGAGACAGAAGAGAAAACGGATCGTGGTGAAACGTAAGTGCACTCGATGAGACTTTGATGTCTTTCCTTGCCTGAAAAAACCTCCGAGTGCAGACGCTAATTCCTTCATTATATCTCGGCTTGACTACAGCAACTTCAAAACTGACCCCCTTGAACTCCAAAGCTATTTCATTGGCCTGTCAGAATCGATCGAATGATGAATTCAGATTGAGTACCATTACAAAACTCGAAATTTTCCAATTACACAAAGCAGATGATACTGAGGAATTCAGTACCACATTAGTCGAACCTGAAGAATACAATACATTTTATTCAGATGAGAGTTTACTAATCTTCTGTAATTTGAGTGATGGAAAACACATTTTGTTTGTTTGGAAAGGAAAGAGGGTAACGAGGAATGAAGCGGAAGAAGAGATGATCGGAAGGTTATTAAAGAAATACGGAATTGATCAAAAGTCAAGATTGTTAAAAATTCAACAAGGATATGAACCTGTAGAATTGATCGAAGCATTAGGAGGAAGTTTAATGATCAGACTTGGAGACCGATTTGAACTCTTTGAAAATTGTTCAACTGTCTTCAGTTGTCGATCTTATCAATCTGGGAAATTATTGGTCATTGAAGAATCGATACTTGACTCTGAATCAGTGAATGAAGCTCTTTGTGCAGGATATTCGGCACTTATCAAGGTTCATGATCAGATTAATGGAAAGATGAAGTTGTTTCAATGGAATGGAAGTCAATCTGATAGGTATGAAAGACTTCAATGTTCACTTGTTGCACAACAAGTTCTGAAAGAATCCAGTGAATTTCAAGTCAGTCATGCATGTTTCACTAACTTTATGATCAGAAGATCAGATATGAAGAATTTCAATACTTACTGACTTTTTGAACTTGTTTATTCGGGAATCCCTCACAATCATGTAGCCAAAACTTGTAGAGTTGGAGCAAGGCGGTGAATCTGATGAGTTTAGAGATTTGTTTGGAGAAGACGAATACGCAATATCATATGTAAGTGGCAAACTAAAACGATTATAAATAAATCTTCAAACTGAATCATTGTTTTCATTTGGTTGATCATTGTGGAATGATTGTAGCATTGGAAGTATAAATCACAAGTCGGACCAACACCTTTAATCCTTCAACTGACTTCACCAAATAATCAAAATATCACCCTCAAAGCTACTGATAACTTTTCAACTCATCTCATCTCTGTCATTCATACCGGTCTTGAAGTCTTTGTTATTGTTCCTGCTAGTCAAAGATCAGAACGATCAATGATTGGAAGAGCAATGGAAGTTGGAAGTAAGATCAATGAACAAATCTCTCAGAAGAAACTTGCAGTGAATTGTTTAGTTTTCCCTACATTGATTCCAGTGGATTTAAGAGCTTCAATTAGGTTCTCTTATGATCTTGAACGATTGGTAAGTTGATTTTTCATACTTATCAAGAACTTTTCATCCAAGGACATACTGATTGACATTTTTTTTCGATGCAAAATAGAATGAAGGATTCGTACCTGAGAAAATGAATCTATTAAGTTTAGATGAAGCATTTGAAGGTTTAGAGAAAGTTAACACTGTGAATTATTTAGAAGGATCCGAAAATCAAGAAGCTAATGATGATGATGATGAATTTAAATATTTACCTATTGGAATTGGACCTAATGAAGTGATCATTGAAACGATTTGAAATAGTAAAAAAAAATCGATGGAAAGAATTTTAAAAAAGAAGCAATTTAATGGATTTTGAAAGTTTTCTTTTAATTCAATTTCTTTCATAGGTTTTTACTGGCTAAAAAGTAATTAGAAAGTTTAAAATGATCAATTTTAGTTTATTTTGTAGTCCTATTGGGTCAATTTTTTTTTGTTTCATTGGGTTAAAGGAGGAAGAGAAGTAAAAGGAATAAACTCTTTTATTGCGATCAAGGTTTTTATTTAGAAAAAAAAACAAAAGTAGCAGGTATATTTTTTTTTGCAGTTTTTTGTTTTTGTTTTTAGTTTTGGTTTAATTTAATTTAATTTTCTTTCATTTATTAGAATCAATCAAGAGTTCTGTCTGTATCTCTTGTGTTTTTTTTTAAAAAAAATTATTTTTAAAGTTGTACTCGTTCATCATTTGTGTATGGGTGTGTTATTTTTCGTTCTATGTGATTTGTTTTTGTTAAAAATCCTTTTTATAAAATTTGACACTTGAATACAAAAATACTTTTTGAGTCTTTGCCTCCCTTTTCAAACAGAGTTCAAAAGTTACTTAACACAAGCTGTACCACAATCCAGGGACATTGCGCTAAGCTTAACTAACCCCTCTTGCGCGTTCGCTACACCCTTGCAGAAGGGCTTGAAACCTAGCTTAACATGGGCCCCACCAGCGCAGAGCCTCCGAGCCTGCGGATGAGGGGCTTGTGATTTATCGGAGATTTGAGGACGCTCGCAGTTTGAGGAGGGACTTTTAAGTTAGGCCCAAGACGGACTCGTGTTTTTTGGCGGGAGAGCTCCAAGATTAATGTCCCCTTAGGTAATTTTCTGCACTTCTCAATTTCACCGTAGAAAAGGCGCAAGAAGGGCCCAAGATTAACATTGTGCACTGCATACCAAGCCACATTGTTGTCATTCTTAAATTGATGTGCTGTCAGGTGCTACCTCCTCCTCTACAGGAATCTGCCGCTTCGAATTTGAAGGAGAAGCTTGTAAGACAGCGTAAAGGACAAACTGCAGGGCAGCAGAGTATTTCATAGACAAATGACACCAAGCGAAAAAGAAGAGGACACCAGAGCAATTCTAGGTCAAACATTCAGTTAATAGTTAATCACACACGCACACGCCACACGTACAAGCATACGCAGACTGACAACACAACATCATGTAACAAGTTGAATAATTTTTTTCTTAGATTTGAAGATGCTCGAGATAGCTATTAGAGACACTAAACATATTCGATCAAAATGGGGAAACATGATGAATGAACGATTGAGTGATTCAACAACTTATCAGAATTTAATTGCATCTATTGAGGAGCGGTCTCTGGAGGAGCACTGGTCTTGATTTGGGTGCTGGCTACGAGAGGCTTGAGGGCTTTGAAGTAAACGGTTTGTGCTCCACGGGTTTGTGGCAACATGAGCCAGACAATGAAAACACATTTGAAGGTGTAGTCTGCGATCGCAATGGTTGATAATTAGTTTGCATGTATTGCGGGGCTATCTATTCTCTTGAAACCAAAAGCTTACAGAAGGGGAACCAATATAGAATAATATCGGCAAAAGTTTCGATGATGTTGAAAACTCCAAACTGAATATGGGTATGTCATCAAGATCAGCCAGATGCACTCGTTGCAAATCATACACAGTTAAATCACGTACGACAGTCCAGTAAGTGAGCCACTGTACATCGTCACCCGAGCTAGGGGTTTCCAAGGCTTGTAAAGATAAATAAGCCGGTAAAGCCCATCCCAAGAGGGTGGTCAAGAAACCAGCGGCAATGTTGAAAAAGATGAATATTGAGAGTACACCGGCGAGACCGAGAATAGCATAAGCTTTAGGGACTTGAACTTGTTTCTCTAGCTTGATCAATGCTGGATATTTGGAGAGCTAGCAAAGAAACAAGCTTGATCAGGCTTTTGTGAGGAGGAAAAGATATTTCAGAGAGATACTTACTTCTTTGTCGATCTGGGCGATGTAGTAGTTGAACTTGTCTTGGGCCGACATATTGATGATGGTGGTGGAGGAATATGCTAAGGGGTGATCGAAAACAAAGTGGATAAGCTTAAATGATCCGATCAGATGCAAAAAGATGAGTGACTTTGAGAAAAAGGGGGACAGGAAGATGGAGGCTTTGAGTGGGATATGCAAACTTCGGATTGGATTGGAGGGGGATAAGAGAAATAATGATCGATCCCCTAAAACAAATCATTCAATTGTAGTTGCAAGGAACGGTAGGTTGGGGAAAAGATAGATTGGGTTGGGGACAAGACATCTTCACAGCTGCTACGTCAGCATCATTGAAGTGTGCTAAAACAGCGGTAAGATTCCACTTTGGGGGCTGACTGATGATAAACAGTCTACAGGAGTTCTATTGAAGTGAGTATATGGAAGAATGGTTTCAAAGAATTGCAGAGGTGCATTCGATCGGTGAGGCCATCCTGGTTGGACTTTGAGCCAACTGAGGATGATTGAGGTCCTTACTACTATCATCTTGTTGGAACGAGTAAACTGTTGAGGGGATAGGAATTGGAAAGAAAGAAGTAGAAATCAAAGTCACATCAAAAGGTAGAAACTCACCTGTTTGATAGGAATTTAGGAAGATTGGTTTAAGAAAGACGTTGAGGATGAGATTGATGTGGGTGGTATGACTGGAACTCGAACGGTAAACAGCAGAACAGACTCTTTATCGATCTAAAATCAAGTTTCAAGGATTGTGATAGTTCAAGAAACGCTGTAAATCGTCGTCGTCAACCCACCACGCAGTCACTGTGCATGGTCGTCATAGTGCCTCATCCTGTAGACCCATAAATATACCCATACATTTCCTCCTAATCGATCAGATGTGTCCTCAAGTTTGGTCCAACCCTGTGCAACCCAAACAAAGAGCATATGTCATGCATTTCGTGAATTGAATTTTGAATGGAAGTTTACATAAGCTTAACTAACCCCCTGTTCCAACGCGGCCACGTCCGCTCTCAAACTTCGAAGGAAGAGGGGCTTAGTCAAGCTTAGACCAAAATTGATTGGACAGCCTTGGACAGGATTGGACTTGGCGATCAATCCAGCAGCTTTATACCAAAAAGGTAGGATTGCAAGTTAATATGAAAGGACAACATTGGATTTTGATGAGATCTTAGGGTGAAGATGCAAGATTAGGAGACTTATGACCTGCGCCAACATAAATAATATACGTCAACTTTTCCACACAGGCTCAATGTTGATGAAATGTTCTTTGGCAGACTGAAAGCAGACTACGAGTAAACAACACTCGGAATATTCCTTCATGGTCCCTATGTATGCTGAAAATCAATCCAATCATGAATGTATTGTAAACATACTAGATGACAGAACAAGTATCCAAATGGTGAGTTCTGTCAGGCCATAGCATACATACATCAAAGATGATCATCCCTGAAGCCTTTGACATCATATCAGATCAGGAACTCAAGGTGCTTGGAAATCACTTCTTAAAATTCGGGTGATGAAAAGTGACAGAGACACTCTTGAGCTGTAGTTCCCAAGTGACACCAACAACATGATGAGTAGCTCTCTAAAAGAAAAGGTATGAGTCTGATTGTTCATAGAGAAAGAGTCAGCACAAGTCTACTCTCATCCATCCATCAAAATTGAATCCAATCGGAGACTCATCATGTATATATGTGTTGTAGGAAGAAGCATGAGAAGAAGGGTTATTTTTTTGCAACTATGCCAATGCCAATTTACTTGGTTGCAAGAGAGAGCTCCTAATCTATCAATGCCAGTCAGACATTAACAAGGAGAAACTAGGGAAACAGAGGGAAATGATCATTGCAGGAATGAATTTTTGACGAATTGAACTGTTGCTCGACAAAGTACATTTGACGTAACACGATACATTAAATTAAACAGTGTTTGTTGCCAGTTGCAGGTTAGGATGTGAGCTCGAACATCTTGCTCAACTTCCTCAACAATTTAATCGTCTCGTCTTCAAACCTACTCAGTCTAACGAGGCTTAAATCAAGATGCCACGATGGGGATTGAATCAACATCAACTACGCTCAATGTCATCTGATCCAAAACTTATTACAAAAAGTCAACCTTGCAATATGAGATCATGCTTTCGGACTTCAACTCAGATTTCATCAAGAGCTTTTTCCTCCTCTAGAGCCTCTTCTCAAGGAAATGATGGAAGACCATATTTTTGTAAGAACTCTGCATGGTCCTATATTTTTATGGTTTCTGAATAGCTGTGCTGATGAATTGGTTTTGAAAAATTCTCAGCACGATTGACTCATCGCTTAAAGTCTACCAAAACAAATTGGAATCCGATCCCAATATGGGTAGGAGGATCCTCACTAGTGATATTGGCCTATCTCAAGCGATCTGAGAGATCGGATGAAGAAAAGGATGGAGCCGGAGTCAAGATTGAGGGGCCATGGCAGGTCCATGTGCTTGGTGCACTTCCCCTTAGAAGTATCAGTCGACTTTATGGGATGCTCAATAGCTACACATTACCCGTTTGGTTCCGAGTCCCTGGTTACCAAATTTACTCTTGGTTAGCATTGAACTTCACCCTCAGTATCAGTTTTCTCAGTCATTGACCTTGCATATCTGTTACTTAGGATCTTCGGTGTTAATCTTGAAGAAGCTGAAGTTCAAGATCTTCGAGAGTTTAAATCATTAAACGAATTCTTCTTACGAAAACTTCGTCCTGAATGTCGTCCGATCTCTCAAACCTCTCTACTTGTCTCTCCTGCTGATGGTCGGATTGTGAATTTTGGAACCATCGATGGTCGTCGGGTGGCATCAGTCAAGGGAATGTCGGCAAGTCTTTTATCTTAATTTCTTGATCTCTTTCTCTCGTGTTTTACTGACTTGCAGCTCTCTTTCCGGTTTACCCCTCATCTGCGTATAACTCACCAAGGATAGTATTCAGTTGACGCACTCTTAGTCGGACCCAAATCTTCAAATCCGAGGCAAATCTCCGATCGAAAGCGTTCTTCTGAAGAAAGCTCAGTAGCCGATTCGGAGTTTGCCAATATCAATGATATATCATACTCGGTAGATCAGCTCATGGGTTCTGGCTCAGCATCAGATCAAGAGGAGCCTAAGGATGTGTCAGTGAAGACTGAGGTACCGCTCAAGTCAACTGCCAAGGTGATGATGGACGTCGCAAAGGGTCAACTTGATATGAATCCTCGGGAAGGACATCGAATGTTCTTTTTAGTGGTTTACTTGGCGCCAGGTGATTACCATCGATTTCATTCACCTGCCGATTGGATGGTGGAACGTCGTCGCCACTTTGCTGGTACGTACTATCGCCTTACTGTCAAGTTTTCCATTACATCGTCATAGCGGTCATCTTGACTGACTTTCAACTACGAACTTTATAGGCGAGTTGTTCTCCGTCTCCCCATGGATGCTCGGCAAATTAGCAGACCTATTCGTATTGAATGAGCGTGTAGCCCTCTTGGGTAAATGGCGACACGGTTTCTTTTCCATGACACCAGTGGGAGCTACCAATGTGGGTTCAATTATGATCAATTTTGATCGTGAACTAAGAACCAACACACCTCATCGATTAGGAGGCTTTCAAGAAGCCTTGTATAATAAAGGTGTGATGGGTGGTCAAGCTTTAGGAAAAGGTGATGAAATGGGAGGATTTAGTCTTGGAAGTACGATTGTGTTGGTGTTTGAGGCACCTGAAACGTTTCGATTTGAGATTAAGAAGGGAGATTTGGTAAAAGTGGGACAAGGGATTGGGACGATTGGTGAAGACTAAGCATGTCAAATATCTTTGTGATTTGTTCTCAAATGAAGCATGATAGTATCATGCAAGGGCAAACCTTTAGTAATCATTGATTTTTCTGGTTTTCTTAATCTTTTGAATTGACAAACCGACAAACTTGGCGTTCTTTTGAGATACAGATGAAATTGATTTTTGTGCTGTGTTGTTTGATACTTGTAGTAGAAAGTAACCAAAAATGTAACAAAACTATGCGCTCTCAAAAGCAGTTACATGCAAGTCAAACGTCTAAAAATTATATTGCTCATCGCCATAATCAGAATGCTAAACCTACATACCTGACTATGTTATTCTGAGGTCCTTTGGCTTTCCGTGGCAGAGAATTGCGCAGCCTTGCACCCCAGGTAAAACGATAACACAATTGAATCATTACTGTGAACTCTAGTGAAACTGTCAATCATATTGCTTTACAACTTTGGCCGCTGGATGACAATGATGAAAAAGTGAAGTAATTTAAACAATGTCTGGAAAGTCCGGAATAGTGAATGATAAAGTACATACTAGTATTTAAAGAATGAACAATGAAGTCGAAAATGAAAATAATAACAAATTGTCGTTGGTAAAAGAATATACAAAAACTTGAAAACATTTTTTTTTTGATTTCATTAAAGTGCATGACCAGTAATTTCGATTTCATCCTTTGAAGTTTTACTTATCTTTGAAAATGAGATTCGATTGAATGTACCGATTTTAAAAATTTGATCTTTTCCAAATGATTTCTTTTCTTGAAATTCCGATTCTATCATATTCGTTTCATTCTCGGCTACCTTACATGCGAGAAGGCGTTTAGATGAAATCACCCTTTGATAGGTGAAACTAGGGAATATATTCATCAGTCTCTAAGTAAATGGTCTTTGAGAAAAGTGAGTTCACTCTTACATGGGTAGAAGAAGGGTTGTTATCAATGTCAAAGTCTTGGAAAGGTTTGGGAAACCGGTCATGCATACCATCAGTATGATTGTTTGTCTGGCAGCAAGAAGAAATTCACATACCAATTCAAGCACCATGGTCGTTGCTTTTGACAACATAACATTTCGATTTGACGGCTTGATCATCTACCAGAGTCAAATACATTCTCTAGATAAGTTAAGGCTGATTTCTGTCTTATTCAAATGGACATTTGCTTACCACCCAAATAAATACAGGTAAATGTGAACAGATCATGACGAATGCAAGAACAGATTCAAGATATAAAATCCCTAACTCAGCTTGATAATCAATTCTCGCATGTTGATCTTGATTTTTTTGATTTGATAAAGATCTTTGAATTTGTACATATGTTTTATACTCTCGATGTACCAAGACAATATAGCCGATGTAAGCCTATCAATGTGATCATAATGTCAGAAGAGGATATCTTTCATCGATCATTAGGCATGAATAAAGTCATCTCACAATGATCAAGGTAAGAAATATGCAGTTCGCAACAATAATATTCGTCTTGAGCAGGGCTCCCAAGCGATCCTTGAATTCGTTACGTTGAAAAGGTCAGCAAAAGAATACGCGTAGAGATGGGTGATGAACTAGGCGAAAGAGTCTGACTAGTAAAAAACTGACCATTTGTGGTGGAATTGCGCGCAGGGGAGATAAGATGTCGCGCAAATTGATCTCAGAATATGGAATTGCATCAGGAGCTTGAGAAGCTGAGCGGAGCCCTTTGACGACATCTCCCGTGGTGTTCACTATCTGGGTGTGAATGATGGTTGGATGAACCAACATGCTTAGAAGGACTGTATATTTACGAAATCATACCCATTGTCAGAACCGATGACTGGGGTGTTTTCGCATAGATCGAAGAAGAGGTGACTGTAGGTATGAAAATAAAATGATTGCTTCTCACTAATGACAGTTCCAATCGCATAAATCACAAAGATCAGATTTCCAAAAATCGGTATCCACTTTGGCATCATCGGATTGCCAGAGGATAGATTGTCTCCATAATACCTCCGAATGCTTCTCGTGTAGTAGATCCAGACCATACACCTATAATTATCGACCAGACTATGCTCAATGATTCTTGATAATTTGATTTTCCTTATCGTTTTTGACGAACGAGTATGAGTAATGACCTATAGGCAATCCAATCCCAGAAAGTATCAACTTCCCACGAACCGGGACGTGTCGAAAATCGATATATAATTGGCATGATAAACCGATGATGGTGACTAATAATCGAGAAGCCCTTGATGAGCTTAACGTATCTTTACGTCTGAAGTCAAAATGAAATGACTTGCCTACGCTATAAATCCAAATGGCGATACCGTCGGTGAGAATTCGATTAGGCTTTATAAAACCAACTGAATATCAAATTGTTATCATCAAAATCAATCTTTAAAAAATTTTCTAGAGTGAAAGTGATTACATTTTGGAACTTGGAGAAGCCAAAACTTTCCTCTCTTCAATTGATAGATGATAAGCATTGTAGAAAAGATGCAAGATCTTAAGCCATCCGTTTTGTAGCAAAATCAGTGTATATACTTTCTTTTGAGACGGTTTCAGTATGATGCGAATCTTACACAAAATGAGAGATAATAAAAAATATCAACACTATTGACATCCATCTCGGATTGCGCTGCGTGATTTGTTTTGTCATCATTGAGGAATCAAAATATCAACACGATTGAGAGGTCAAGTGTAATTGTGAGGTGAGATTGAAAAAGAGAATCAAATGATATCGTCAGTGGCAATACTCAAAGCCAAGGTATTAGAAAGGTTTGACTTCTCACCGGGGCAGCATTTGCGTTAATGAATGGAATCAGAGCCGAGTATACATTAGTATCGGATGGAAGTGACTGGATAAATTCCATCATCTGCACCGATACGCCCGTCTTTATAAAAAAGTTTTCATGACTTTGTAAGCTTATGACAGTGGGAAACGATTGGAGTCAACTCAGATCAAAGGACGGATGTACCGTGACGGCCAATTCCAAGGGCATCTTGGACATTGATATGTTTTCTGTTTGATGCGAGGTAGGTGATGTTTTGTATAAGTTTAACGGAACCAAAGCTGGATATTATACTGCGATGAAAAGAAAGTCTGACTTGAGTAAATATGAAAGAGTATCTCAACGTTGAGAGCGTGACCGTGACGCCAATGAGTTCGATTTTGATATCTTTGTTGTATTCTGTGTCGAAACGGCGAGGTACACCTTGCGATGGCAGTGTATGATAGTAACCTCTTGTGGCTAAGTGAGCAACCTTGTTTTGCTTTCGATGCTTTGAGTTACCTCTACTGCTCAGCAAATGTTAGTGTTTTCCAGGGCACATCGGGATGCGATCAGATAACGGGAACGCAGAGCTGAGGTATCATAAGGCCTTTTGAAACTCTTCGCAAGAAATCTTCGGGTTTTCGCGCTCTTGTGGATGTATACGTAAACAACTGCCATCTGTGAGGACCAGGCTTTAGATTCCAACTTTTCTCGATCAATCAGAACAGGCTCTTTTGAACCGCATGGTCGCGATGAAGACCTGAGCACACCTCTAAGTCAATGAAGTCCGAAGGGCCGTATAACCATGACGTCATGTCGCCAGTCGAGCTCGCATGAGACATGATATGGACTTGGTGTTTTCATTAAAATTGCACTTTGAATTTGTCATCCGAGCATACGATGTCCAGAATCTGATCTCAAGTCCAGAGGTGAGTCGCCAGCTAGAATCGCATTCGAAAGTCCGAAGTCTGAGAAGATCTTGGCAAAGTGATCATGGAACTTGTCCATGGTAAGTAAAGAAGGAAGGATTCTTTATTAATCTTCATAGCTTCAACTGTCCTGACTGCTCTTTTGAGAATGGGTAGGTGGACGTCCACTCAGGAGACAGTCAGATGAGAATTTCTAAAGTTGTGGATGATCCATACAATCAGAGTGACGGTTTTTGAGTAAAAAGCATCTATTCTGTGACATCCAGTGAAGATGTCAACAAGAAGAGTCTCGATCAAATTCAATCAATCGATCAAGAACTGGTTCACTTCAACTTCACTGTTTATCAAACTCAACAACAACAGCAGCAACAGAACACATAGGATCAATACTAACTCACAAAGACGACAATTTCAGACCAAATCAACGAGAACAAGATGCCAAAGTGGATTGATGAAGATTTCATTAAATTAACTAAAATCCAAACTATTCACATTCAAAACTTATCAAACTTATCAATCTCAACTAAATCAGAAATCAAACCAACTTCAACTACTTCAACATCAACAAGAACAACTTCATCTTCATCTCATTCATCTCATTCATCTCATTCATCTCATTCATCAGATTTCAACTCAGAACCATATTCGAATCATTCAAAATTAGACTTTCTAAGACCAAACTCAAAGATTCTAACTTCACCTTCACCTCAACCATCATCATCATCAACATCAAATTCAATCAAACCATCCACTTATGCGTTAACTGATCGAAACCAATCACTCATTCAAAAAACTAGAAATAAATTCATCAAATCACATTTACTGGATTCGTATTTAACCATCTCAATTCCAACTTATGAATCTAAACCATTTCTGATCACTGAGATTCAATTCAGTACCAACAATCCAAGATTCTCAATCGATCTAAGTCATCTTCAACATCTTCAACCTTCCATTCAACCTTTGATTAATCATTATTCATTCATTGATCGAAATCGAATCTTGATTCTCACTCTCTTTACTCGTCCTACTTATCCTAGATCATCCAAAAAGATCATTCAACAAAAACATATCAATCATCCGGATTCTAGTTTATCTGAATCTGATCATCGTCCGATCTCATCAAATCATCAATTTACGCCTACACTCACTTGGGAAATTGATTTTGATTATCCTAATACTTTAAGAAAAGTCAATGTGAGTCAAAAAAAATCATGTTAAAGATTCAAGATATGTTATATCATGATTTCAAACGATTTTTGCTCATCTTTTCATATAGGATCAGGATAGGATCTCGAATCAAAAGCGGAATCAACTATACCTCAAAACTCACGATAAAGTCTATGTTTACAGAATCTCGGATCAGTCAGATTCAACTCATCATACCACAGGTGATGAACTGGATGGATACGCGTCTGATGATGAAGCAAATCCAAAAGAATCTTCAACCGATCAGTGCAGTGCTGAACTTTTCATCCATCCTTCAACTTCTGAGGATGCCAATCAACCAACTCAAATTACAGTACATTCATCAGTCCAGCCCACTCCCAATCAACTCGATCAATCATCTGATGGCAAAAAACCATCTTGTTCAGATTATGATCGTAACCTTACAAAAACTTTTGCGGTCGAAGATCTGATCAAGTTGAGTATGATCTTCAGCTACACCTAGCATGTTTTAATTGATGTCTTCATCTTCCTAAACTCTTTTTTGGCTATGTTACTTTTTCTGGGGGACTTTTATCAAATCGAATCCAAAAAAACAAGATTGGTAGACAAACACCTTGAATTGGATGAAGTCAAACTTGAAACACTTGAACTGGAATGTAAGATCGATCGATGGTTCTCAACTGACTTACGAGAGCGATGCTCATTCAATTTGGTCAATTTCCTTTCCTTTTGAGTATACTTTGCAATTACTACATCTCACTGATTTAGCTTAAGATGAATGATTTCAGAGTCGAAAACTGGATCAAATGCAACATCGACTTGATGAGCTTGATCGAGAAGAAATGCAAAACCAAAGCCGATTACAACTCTGTGAGTCAATGAGATGTATCAAACCACCGAGATCCAGAATCCAAACAGAAGCTCATGAATGAATTTACCAGTAAAGACTTCAATATTAGATCGTAGAGAGATGATCCGACAAAGAAGAGAAACAAACCGACTTGCACGAAACAAATTATCTGATTTAATCTCAACGAATTTAACCTCGATGAAATCGAAACTAGAAACCGAATTAATTCCAAACCATCAACTCATCACGAAATCATTAACACGAATCCGATCTAAACTAATTCAAAACTTGACATTAATCTATCCCATTGAATTAACTCCTGAACGATTAACGTTTTCAATATTGAATATCAGATTAGAACCTAACATGAATTTAATCAATCAATCGAATCTTTTGAAATTCTTTAATTCAGAAAGAGAAGAAGAAGAAGAACGAAAGGTTTCATCTGGGTTAGGATTGGTGGTAGGATTGGTGAAGTTGTTGTCGTTTTATTTGAGTATTCCATTACTTTATCCACTTACTTGGATGGGATCTAGGTGTTTGATCACTGATAGGATTTCATTGATTAGAGGGACAAGATCGTGAGTGGTTTTGGATCATGAGTTCTTGTGCTGATCATAACTCACGATTCACTGACTTTCTTTAGTTGATTTGGTCTGGGTTTTCTTTAGGTTTCCTTTGTACTATAAAGGTGTTGATCGGTATAGATTTGAATATGGAGTGTTTCTTTTAAATAAGGATATTGAACAGGTACATCTTTCTTTACTCCTAGATATGAATGCATTAGATGGACGACCTGATCGATTTCTTTCTGTGGGTTGTGATCATTAGATGATGTATCATCGTCAATTGACCGTGATCGATATTAGGGATACATTAGCGAATTTGAAAAACTTGATGTTAACACTTGAAATCTTGTAAGTTCATCAAAACCAAAGTTATTTTTTTTTGCTATTCATCTTTAGATCACAAGAATAGGATGATCAACTTTTTTGATTTGTCTTTTTTTGAATGGGTAGAGGTAGAAAAGAAGATGAAGATGAAGAAGATCAAGTCATAGAAGAAGAACAAAGGGTTTCTGGAGAGATGACTTAGTTTGAATTTTCATGATGTCGATTTGAGATGCGGTCAAGATTAATGTGGTAAAGTTGACATGGATTCCGATCAGATTGAAGGTACCTGTTTGACTTTCGTTTTGACAACCGGACCTTTGGATCTTCTATGTATGTTTATGGTTTAGATCTCCGATGATCGGGGTTCAAGGCTTGATTGATTAAGTCAAGTGTGTATGGAATCACTGCATGGTCCAAAATAATAAATCACTTAACAAAACACTTTGATTGATTTGAGAGGTTGTTGTAGTGTATGAAGAGTTTATCAAGGTTTGTAGAAAGATGATGGATTTGTGTTGTATGAGAATGAGAATGAGAATATGAAAAATTGAGATTTGTTGATTTGATTTGATGTACAAAAGTGAATGATGAGATGAATTTAAGAATGAAGATCATGGTATGTAGCTTGAGATCTAAACTTATTGCAAGAAGCAGTGTGGGACTTGGATTGAGATCATGGTTTTGATATCTATTTCCAGTCATTTAAGAAAAGCTTGTCCCAAATTCCCCGCCAATTTGCTCGAGTTTTGCCGGCAGTTTGGGGTAAGCTTTTGTTGAATGACTGTATCAATTTGATCAGAACTCACTGAAGTGTTTGATCTTCTTTTGGAAAGGTTTTGCATAGATACAGAAAGATCTAAATCTTGTTAAAAGTAAAGTACATATCATCCTACATACTTGCCTATAACTTACTGACTCTTACTGATCATGTGGTTTTGACAGACGGCTGTTGTACAAAGTAAGGAGGAGCAGTTAGAGTACGTTACACTACCAGCATAAAGTAATTTTCCCAAGTAAAAAATGAATACATTTAGAGCAAAAAATGATTGAAAATGCATTTGATCAGCATTAAATCAGCATTAAATCAGCATTATTCAGCATTAAACCAGCATTTTTAATTAAAGATGCATTAAATGTAATCATTTTTTCCTTGGGAAAATTACCTTTTGCTGGGAGTGTTAGGCTGATTTGAAGTGACAGTGTAATGAAGGATGACTGGCCAGATGTGTGCTAAAGTGCAGTAAGGTTGATTTTTTTTTTGAAAGAATGACGTCAGAATTTTTTTAAAAGATCTTACTTAACCAACAAAATCGTCGTCATCATTTGAGAATTGGTATGTAATCTAGAAAATCTAAATCTAAATACAGAAGATGGTACAGAACAGAAAGGAACAGAGCAGAGAAGAAGAGAAAGGACTTGACTGATGAGTAGATCCAGATTAGATAGTTCGGTTGGGGAAAGTGAGTAAAAGTAAAAGTGTATGATCGAATTTGAGGAGAAAAGTGAGAAGAGATAGATGCTCAACTTAGTGCTGTGATGATGATGATGATGATGATGATGATGAAATGGTTTTGATTACATCATCAAGGGTTGATTGATTATAAATCCAAGATCATACAAGTCATTTTATTAAAACACCATTTTACTACATTATCAAATATCAGATTTTAGAAAAATACTCAAAATCCACTTCAACTTCAACACTCAAGAGTCAACACTCACTAATCATCATCATCATCATCATCAAAGGATTTCTTATTCAAAAAGTAATGTCAGATGCTATCAATCCTATGTCATCGATCATCAATCATCATCTCAATCTCAATCCTAATCCAAATCCTAATTCAAACTCAAACAATCATCAAAACAATCATCAAAATAACTTACTTCACCTTAATACTTCAACTTCTCAATCTCAATCTCAATCAAATCAAACGTCATCACCACCACCAGCACCACATGGCTTAATGATTAATAATATCAAATCAACTCAACTTCAATCGGCTAACAGTGGTGCTTCATCTGCTGCTGCTACTACTACTCTCAATTCAGCTCAATCACTCTCTGGAACTTCAAATTCAACGGCTCCTTCTTCTCCTTCTTCTGCTAATCATTTCTCTTCAGTCTTGACATCTCATCCTGAATCTTATTCAACAGCAACAACAACATCAACAACACCTAATCCCATCCCTGTTCCTAATCCTATTCCTATTCCTATTCCTAGGCCAGTCAGAACTCCTTCTAATTCTCGTCGAACAACTCCACTCGCTAGAACCGTCTATCCTGCCATCGGATCTCAATCTCAATCTCAATCTCAATCTCAATCTCAATCTCAATCTCAATCTCAATCTCCAAGTAGGACGGTTAGTGAATCTAGTTCAGCTTCAGAACCTGATCCATTATCCATCGCAATCTTGAGCTGTAGTCCTGCTAAACATTCAGCTCCAAGTCCAACTTCACCATCAGCTCGATCAGGATCTTCTCCTTCTAAGCGGAATGCTTCCAAGGGCATCGGTCCTCGTTCAGCCTATTCAACTCATTCAGAAGGCTCATCAATGACTTCATCAACTACGCCTCCTATCGCTCCCATCGGCACACCTAACCCTTTCTCCCTTCTCGCAAGCTCTTCAGCTATCTCCTCAACTCACACTCTTACCACACCTGACGATAAAACTGGACATACGCATCTTCTCAACCTACCTCAAGCTTACCAGTCTTCTGATCTGATTTCATCTACACCTTTCCAACTCAATCCACCATCTCCGTTCATCCCTTCGCTTCCCTCTAAACTCGTATCACCATCGACCATGTCGGGCATAGCTCTTGCTCAAACAACTTCCTCCATCACACTCTCGAACTTTACACCGCCTGGTTCCGCCAGTAGTACAGGTACAACAGCTCAGAATCGTTATCCTTCTACCATCCCATCTCACTTCAAGTCTATCTCGGCTCCTCAGCTCATTGATTGGCTTAAAAACACCCCGGATGATCTACTTGTCCTGGACGTTCGAAACGTTAGCGCCTATTCTCGATCTAAAATCAAAGACAGTGTAGGGTTCAATTTACCTACTACACTTCTCAAACGTCCCATGTATGGTGTTGATCGGTCAGTTTAAAAGCTTTGTTCATTGAGTTTTCTCTGGTTCATAAGTGGCTTGATATCATTGGTTCTTTGCTCTATCACTGACGTATATTATTCCTCATCTGTTTACATTCCCTTTCCATTCTCTGGACATATAATACCTTTCTTCAAAATTACCTCCTTGATGTTGTTTTCCACGTTGATCTATCAGGATTGAAGCCACTCTCGATTCTCCATCCGACAAGGCGCGCTTCTCTCGATTTCGTACCGCTGTTGCTCTTCCTCAAAGCTCGCAACCTCTACCACGACCACAAGATTCTTCTCCTCAACGTCTCAAACGGATTGTTATTTTGGATGCCGAGTCTTCGGTCTCGACGCTTCCTTCACAACATCCACTTGCTTTGATACTTAAAAAATTCGAGGCCGCTGGTTTTAATGGCGAATTGAATTGGCTCTCGGGTGGCTTTAATGGATTTACTCGATCTTCAGATGCTATTGAATTGATCGAGAATGTTGTATCGGATCGTGAAACTGATGCTTCGGTTGCCTCCTCCGGCACTGCTGGAGATTCTGCAAATATCTCATTATCTTCTCAAAATAACTTACGGATGTCACTCTCTTTGCCACCTTCTTTGACTACTTCACCTACCACCTCGACTGCCTCACGTCCTCTTCTCAATGGTACTCGTCCTACCAAACATCGCCCATCTATGACCATCGATATGTTTACGAGAACGCCAGCGGCGTTTGATCAACGACCTAATGAATCTTTTACTTCTTCTGACTCAACACCGAGAGTACCTCAACACCAATCTACCTCTCATTATGCAACCTGTGCTCGACCTGCTCCGCGCGCCAGAGCAGCCGTGAACCCATTCTTTGATAACATTCGTCAACTCAATGAGCATCTCTCACTGGATGTCTCACTGAAAAATCTCACCCCAATCCGCTTACCGAAGCTGAAGTTTCCAGAGCGTGATATGCCACGCTTACCAAGATTTTATCAACGACTCTTACAAGAGGATGAAGAAGCTCGGGCTCGAAGATTGGCTCATGAGTTTCATGATATTGAGATGGCAGAGCAACGTCGATTACAAGATGTGATGAGATGGCATAGTAGTCAGAGAGCGGAGATCAGGAGTTCGGGTGGTGATGCTTGTTTGGTGCCTGTTGCCGGACCTTGTGAAGGTGGCGTATTAGATGGTTCATCTGAACATCCTTTCAGTATTAGTGCTGGTGTTGAACTTGGCTACAAGAATCGGTACGTAACCTGAACAAAACCTTTTTACACATGATCTCCCACTAATGTTCAAAGCTACGTAACCTTTTTCTATCTTCACTCACTTCATGCTCGCAGCTATAAGAACATTTGGCCCTGGGAGCATGCACGAATTCGACTCAACGGACAAGACGGCAGTTGTGCGGGAACAGACTATGTGAATGCTTCCTTGATCAAATTCGAAGTGGGAGATGAGAAACGAGTATCACCAAGGAGTTATATAGCCACCCAGGGACCCTTGGCATCCACCTTTGATGATTTTTGGTCTGTAGTCTGTCAACAAGATGTCGGATTGATTGTGATGTTGACGAAACGACATGAAGCGGGACGAGAGAAATGTGGAGATTATTTACGGAGTGGAAGGTATGGAGAGATTGTGATCAGTATCGAACCAGAAGAAGGGATCCGAAAGAGTGAAGAAGATGAAAAGGATGATTTCTTTGGATTTGCAGCTAGTGTGAATGAAGAAACCTATATGGCTAGAAGAGAAGGAGAAGCTACACCTAATCTACCGATTGGAAGATCAGTAGTGATCACGACGATTCGATTGAGTAGAGTGACCAGACCTGAGTTACCTGCTAGAAGGATTAAACATGTTCAGTATCGAAACTGGCCAGATTTTGATGTTCCACCTGCAGCTGATGAGTTACTTGAATTAGTAGAGAAATGTAAATTGATGGGAAAGGAAGTGATTAAATTAAATGAAGAAATCCAATCAGATTATAGAAACCAATCTGGGGAAGCCCTCAAGTCTGTTGAAAACCTTATGGGAAATGGATCAGGACCGGTGATTGTACATTGTTCAGCTGGAGTAGGTAGAACAGGTAGTTTTATTGCTGTTGATGTGATGACGGAAGTTTTGAAAGCTATGTATATTGAAGAAGATGGAGGGGTTTCGGAAACGTTGGTGGTTAGGAAAGGAAGGAAATGGATGGATATTGAAAGTCCTAAGAGTGAAACCACTACTACTACTGGGATTGGGATGGGTGTTGGAATTCAAACTATGATTGGGATGAGTGAGAATGGGAATAGTGGCAATGGGAATAGTGGGAATGGGGATAATGGGAATGGGAATGGGAATAAAAGGATCGGGTTACCTTCGTTTTTGGAAACTCAGTATTGTGATTGTTTATCTGAGATTCCTTCGGTTTTACAAGAGAATCCGATTTTACCTCTAGTGAATGAAATGAGGTAAGAATTTCTTTTTTTATCTCTTTTTGATGACCATTTTTTTTTTTTGAAGAAAAAGTTTGAATGATGAGTTGATTAATTTGGAAATCCATAATTTTTTTGACCAAAATTGTAGGGAACAAAGGATGTCTATGGTTGCAAATTATCGTCAATATGTGTTTGTTTATGAAGTCTTATTGACTTATTTATTAAAAGTTGAGTTCAAGATTTTTTGTTCAAAACTATATCAAGGAAAGAAACAAATTGGAATTGGAATTGGAATTGGAACTGATTCGAAATGGTTTGGATTTGTAGGAATTAAAAATTGAAGTTGAAGTTTGAAATTGATTTTTTTTAAATTGATGTCTTTTTCTTTTTTGCTTTTCTTTTTTTCTAATTGATTGATTGATTAATTGATTAATTGATTGTTGTTATGATAAATTGTTTGATCATCATCCTGTTTTTTTGTTGTGTCTTTGTCTTTGTTTTTTGATTTTTCTTTTATCATTGTTTTTTTTTGTCAATTCGATTTCATAGATTCTTCTTTTTTCAACCTTTTTTTTTTTGAAGAAGAAATTGTGTTTTTATAGAGCGTTGTTCATTTATATATAATTCTTTTACGTGTATTATTTTATATATATATATATATATGATTTTCTATATATGTGTGTGTGTGTTTGAAGAAGGAAGGAAGGAAACTTTGAGAGTCTTGTGTGGGGAGACTCGAGAGTGTGGTGAGGGTTTGGAGGGGTGATGATTGGTTCTTGGTTTATGATGATGGATTGGATTTCATTGAGCAAAAAGATATGGAGCTCAAGCTTGGTGGGAAATTGAAATTAGAATCTATGTTACAACTTATGAGGCAACCCCTTTGGCTTGGGTTCTGTGATCTGTTAGAATCTGATTACCATGAAGCTTCTCTTGATGGTCATCAAGAAGGTAAAGTAGGGTTAAACTCATTTTAGCTCAATTCATAGTCTTGGGATGATCTGGATGTTTGGATGAAGATTCGATTTAAGATGGCTTATGTGCTATAAGAAAATGGTGACGTTTTATGAATGACGTCATTGGTAATTGCATAAATCGATCAAGCTAGTTGACCAAAAATAGTAAACTCGGTCAACTCATCCTCACTAGACAATCTCACTTCACTTCACTTCAACATAACACAATTCATCAGAGTACATCATGTTAGGAAGTTTAACTCATTTCAATCAAACCGATTCAGCTTCTCATCCTGCTACAGGAGCTAGTAAATCAACAGGCAATACTCAACCTAATCCTTCTCACTTATCTAAAGCGGTTCGAAAGTAAGTCTTTTTGTTTATAATCGGATCTTAGATGTTATGTTGTCTTGATCACCAAATTAACTTTTTCTTTTGTGATTAACTTTTTTTGGCGTCTTTAGAGATCCTGCTGTCTTTCCTTTAGCTTTTATTATTGGTAGTGTGATTTTAGTTGCTGGGTATTTCGTTACACAAAAAGCTCCTAAGGAAGGTGGAGGTGTTGAATCTTATGGTCCTAATAGACCTCCCACTTCTCCGTAAGTGATTTAATCTTCCTTTTTCCTTTGATTTATATATGAAGAAGATAATGATTTTAGGTTTGATGATCTTTCTTTTGTAATGCAGATCAAGACCGGTGAAATCTGCTACTGGGCTTTCTTCTAATGTTCCTTATAACTTTTCAGGATTGTTTAAGATCTCTAATTCTCATGAGATTCAATCTCAACCTTTTTCAAAGTTTTTCCTTAGGAAGAATTAGGTTGATATGAATCATTGATCATCATTTCAAAGTCCTTGTGACATCATTCAATGTTATTATGTGATTAGTATTCTTCATCTTACTCGTACACCACAAATACGATATATGATTGTACGATGATCCTTTTTGAAGGTTTTCAAGTGATTGTCTAACGTCTTTTCAATATACACTTTGTATTCTTTTTCCTAAAGTCAAATATGTCGATGAACAATGTAGTGCGTCTTCTTTGCTGATCAAAATTGTTTAGTTCATTATCTGTTGTCCAATCTTAATTGATCATCAAAATCGTTCAGGCCTCTTTATTCATTACGTCAAAGGGATGTAGTGTTAGGATTAAGTATCGCGTCTAAAATGAGATATCATACTTAGCCTACCAGTGCAATGCGTGGGTGAAAATGTTGGGAATGCAACTTTGAAGTCGGATGGGAATCAGGGAATCAAAGTTACAAAATTGAGCAGGCGTGTTTTAAAGAACGCGCTTGATTTTCATTGTGAAGCTCTAGAAGTGATGATCTTATACCCTTGATCCCTAACAAAATGTTTTCAGCTGAGTATTTTCATTGGAGCTCTCTTGGGGTTCTTCAACACCTGTCAAAAGGAGCCCACTCATGAGATTTTCTAGAATGTAATGTCCTCTTTACAAAAATATATAAAGATATGGTCATCTAGAACATTTCTCAATTCTTAGTCTTAGGTGTAGAACTTTTTTCAGGACTGCTGGCTCATTTTGTGGCTCAATAATCAGTTTTTCAATGTGCTGAATTGTCCTCTGAAATATATGGGTGTATATTGAATTTTCTTATATATGGATATCATGAACAAAATTTGAGTGCACTGAGAAAGTGGACAATGGATTTTATCAAGAAGTATACTTCGTCCTTTTTTATTGAGGCCGTTTTAATGCTATATTGTATCTTCTATCAAGGCTCATTGGGGACATCATGATAATCTGGCAGGCTACAGTTTGTATTCTCGTCACAATTACAACAGTAGTAGAAATCAAGAAGACTGATGTCCATATTTTTCTTTCTAGAAAACATCAAGTGAAGCATTAGAAAACAAAAAGAGAACCATACTGGGGTCTCAGACTCATGATGTTGAATTGTCCTTGTTTGAAAAAAAGCCTTAAAATCGGATCATTTCCCTTGATCATAGTACAGAAACAAAAAAACTAAAGATAGAAAAACTAAAAAGAGATGACTAGAAACCGAAGGTACGAAGGAAAAACTGCCACATAAACCAAGACTTTCACTCAAAACATAAATGATAAAAAAAAGATTCAAGAAAGTCAAGAAAATCCTCCACATCTTATTTGATGAGACTTTTGACTTTCTGACTAGCATATAACTTCGAGTGATGCCATTAAAGTTGTCCACTACCAATCATGATCCGTCGACCTTCGCTGGCAATTCCATCAACGAGTACAAAGATCCAGCCGTATCCTGGTGGGTATACTTCTGCTGTGATTGGCATCTGCACAATCTGCTCATTGGGAGCACTGGCTGGGTAGGACTTGAGCTCGACCGATCGTAAGTTCATGTGGACTCCATGAGTAACTGTACGGTTAGGAAATCAAACTCTCAGCACCTTTTGCATACGACACTGAATCATTTGCGCATCTTTGAAATTTCTGACTTACCAAATCCAAAGTCCATCACGACCACTTTGACATCTTTCTTTACCAAATCAGTTCCGGCAGCCATCTTGATTCGGACAATTTGCGCAAAGTTTGCTATCAAGGGCACAGCATCAATCACTGGTCGGTCTGCACTACCGATATATGGAGGGCTAAGCCATTCAACACGATACTCTGTTGGGTACTTGAATGTACTTCGATCCAGATTAGGGTTACTTCCCGCAATCATGACTTTTCCACTTGATGTAAGTGTCGCCACAGAATGGTAGAGCCTAGGGATAGTTGATGTAGGTAGGCCTTTAGAACTGAAGCGAGAACCAGCCGGTGCTGCAGGGTCATAGATGACTGGTGTATAGGCTGGTTTATCGGCATTGGATGCACCGACGCCACCCCGTAGATTTCCGTAACCGGCAGTTCCCTTACATATCGTGAAGAGGTAAAAATCAATTTTGTGTGAGGTTTGAACAATGCTTCATATGTTGGAGAAGGAGCTTACAGTCATTGCTCCATTGACAATGAGGATCTTACCATCCGGCATGATAACAGCATCGGGCATCACTCTAGGATCAGGCATATGTTCAACTTCCCAACCTTTTGAGATTCCTCGGTCATTAAGTATCATGCGTACACACTGATCTGATGCCGGAGTTGAGACCTTGACTTCTTGATCAGTTGCACTATCAAGCACAGAACTTCCACCACAGATCAAGACTTCGGGTTCGTAATCATTTCGATAGGTGAGTGGGAGGAGGATTCCAGTCCCAGTGAACGGATAGCTGACACGAACCCCATTAGGAAAAGCTGGTAAAGGCGTCTCAACACCAGTACGCCAGTTGTAAAGCATCGCATCATTGTTGGCGGCCATGAAGACCGTATCGACTATTGGAAGGGCGATTACGATAGGGTAAAGGTTTGAGGATAGAGTTCGCACTAAGAAAGGTGAATGGATGGGGACTTGGGGAGACTGAGGAGCGAAGTCGAGCTTCTTAGGCGGGAAGTATTCGATCGTTGGGTTGTTAACTTCAGCCGTGTTCCTGTTTTTGGATCAAATCAGTGTCTTCTTTCACCTACAAGGAAATCACGATAACAAGATCAAAAAGAGGATGTATTCTACTGACTTCCATCCTCCCTTCTTACTACCTCCAACGATCATGACACTACCGTCGGATATCCGAATCACAGTTGGGTACCATCTTGCACTGGTCATGGCGATTGATTCCGGGTATTCCTCAATATCACAGTTTCCACCATCACAAGGAGTGAAGAATCGAATGGATTGGATTCCATTTACATCTCCAAAGTCAGCTGCGCCTGTTATGTCCGTCACCACTGGATTTCCTCCAACACTGATGATAAAAAGGTGAAGACAATCTATCAATTTTGTTTTGCTTAGATCAAACTTGAAGTTTCAATGTGAGACTAACTTGATCATTGTTCCATTTCCTAAAAAGCTCCCGGCGGCGCAGAATGAATTCGATGTTGGGTTCAATGCTCTGACCTCGTTGGTCTCGAGATTGTAAATTGCGGCCCATGCTGGGTGACCATCAGTGATCAATGGGTTGTGTTCGACCTGTGAAGTTGCAAAACAAAGGGCATAAGGCATGAGCTACGACCAGAGGTGTAAAAGAAGTAGTAAGACCTATACCTTATCAATAATGATAGCCTCCGTGTCACTTATGATACTTAATTGCATCGCCGCGACTCCGGTAGTACCCTTTTGGGCCAAAGTCCATTGATCGGATGTAGCTCGTCTGGCTTTCCGTAGCTTGGGCTCGGATAAAAGGTTTGTGAGGTCACCGGAATCCTTGCTCTGGTGTGATGTGGTATCAGTCGTTACAAATGCAAAGACCGAAAGCAATTCTCCCTTTTTACCCTCGTGAACAATCTTCAAAGTGTGTTTAGTTGGCTTCAGGTAAGCCGCTCGAAAGATCAATTGCTCCTGAAAGGTCTTTCCACTTCCGCAGTCCAGAATATGTTTTCTAGGTTGAAGAGTTCCATCAAGGTAAATGTCGATCTTGCTGACTCCCTTGCCTTCTTTTCCAGCCTTGAAGCCAAAGTATTCGATTTCTTCACCTGTCCAACTTATTTCAACTGAATCTCCCGGATGAGTAGTTTCTTGCCCACTACCGTGTTTGGATGATGATTTTTTCCACCCGTGACCATTGAAGTTTAATTTGTTGGAATGCTGATTCGCGTAGACTACCTTCGAGCCGGTTGGAACGTAAAAGGGTAAAAATGGCTTTCCTCCAAAGACGCCGGTTGAAGCCGCATTATGTGGAACGTATCCACCCCATGCTCTTTCTCTCCTTCGTAGGTCGTTTGAGCGCGTTAGGGATTTCGGTAAACCATTCAGAGGAGACCTCACAGCCAAGATTGAAGGACGAACAAAGTTTGACACGGTGAGGATGGAGATCAGAAGACAAACGACGAAGCGAGAAGGTATTGAAGACATTGTGAATATCGAAAAAAAATGATGATGCCAACCAAGCGGAAAAGGTCTCTTCGCTTGTGACTTGTAAGTTCTTCTTAGATTGAATTTGTGAGAAGAGAAGATGATTGTCTGTGTGATATGAATGAATAATCAAGAATAAAATGAGAGTCGCACAAAAAAAGAATAAAGACTTTCGATGAAGCCAATAACGAGAGTGGTTACTGATATGACTAGATATTATAGTAGAGAAAAGATAATGTGTTCCAAGAGCGTTCGAGAAGCTACGTGGCTCGGTTTACGGAGAATCGAGATTGTGAAGGAATAAATGATCAACTTGTGAGAATGCTAAAGAGCTTCAAGAGTGGAAGATAAATCTTTCGATAATCACGATGAATCACCCCTGACCGAAACCTATTGAAAACTGATGAAAACTGGTACTTGGAAACAAGAAGTTAAGAGCTGTAGGAGAAAGAGTGTAGTTGGAAGAAGCGTTGAAACTGAAGCCGAGTGCGGGAGTTTCAAAGAACTAAGAGAATTTATACCACGCTTGAACATGGGGCGTAGGCTCAATCAGGTCATTTGATAGTGTTCTTAAGGATCTATGCCTTAGAATAGGTAGATCCTCTTTGGAACGGGGAAGGCACCAGGTCCCGTCTACCAGGAACTACAGCCGGAGGCGATACGTGCGCACCGAGTTAAAATGAACGGCTTGTGCAATAACACACATCTATCAAGGCCACGATGGAGCTAGGCGTAGAAAATGATATAGGACAACGCCAACCCCAATGCTGTACGAAAGGATTACCTGGTTGAAATCCCAGATGTCCATAGAAGGCTCAGGAGAGATCAGGACGTTACAAATGATGTGATCTCTTACAGTTTATGAGGAAAGTCTTTCGTCTACACAGCACCATTGAAGTGATTGCGACATTTTTACAAACCTTCACACAGAACAATCGTGATTTCTGTGAGGGCTATGGACATGGTGGGTGGAGTCGTGGGCGTATATGAAACGACAGTGTGTACATAGAATTTCGCGGGGAAAGGGATCAGGATGGCATTGGAATTTGGAACCTCCCTTGTTTCGTTGGTAAGGTTTGGGGCGTAATAGGGTTAGTGCTGGTTATTGTCATACTTGAGCAGCTCAGCATGAGGGAGATAGGATCTGATAGGATGCGACCATTCATAAAGAGATGATTGAGCTTGAAGAAGTCCCTCGCGTAGCCCTGTCCGCGCCCCCCAAGAGGAAACCATGCGCTATCACTCCCTCTAAAACCTCCAACTTCACATTTCTTAATCAATCAAGTGGATGATGAGATAACCAGAAAAGGCCTTTGGGGCTCGAAATCCTTGGCCACTCACTGCGAGTTTGTCTAGCCTTGATGTAATATCCATTGTTTATCATCTAGTATTTCCACCATGTAAATATCCTTGTAGCACGTCGACGTGCACACACAAAAGACTTTCCTTAGACCCTGTAACAACCCATCAAAGAGGTGCCACAACAAGCACATCTTCCCCTTATCACCTGGGAGGTTGAAAGTCAGTTGACCCCTGCTGACAACAAAGGATTCTGCAAATCCTTTGAACAAATCACAAAGCACAAAGGGTGCTCAACAACAATCTCAGTCTAAATTCGACCAAAAGACTTGGAGTTTTATTTCAAAACTCTCCGTGTGTGCACGTCAACGTGCCACACGGATATTTACATGGTGTTCATCATTCTCTCCATTCTCTTCATTCAATTTGCCTGCTTTCAAAAACCACTACCATCAACAACCAGTTCATCTATAAAAGCATCCACTGGAAGGTTTTCAGATTTGATTAGTTGTCCAAATGATATGGGTTTTATTTCAGAATATTGTTACAGTTTTCATTCATTAATTCTTTCAGTTGTGAGGTCTTCAATGTTGGTGATTCAAACTTTATTTATGAGTTGTGAGGGGTCTTCAATCTTCTTTACACTTGTTTGAAACCTTCTTAACCCTTCTTTACAGTATTTACACTGAACACTTCTTGTTTTCATTTGTTTTGTTTTTTCAACTTGTGAAAATAAAAAAAAATGTTTTTATTTTGCTTGCAACGCTGTGAAAGACTGTATTGAAAAACTATGTTTACCACTACTAATTCTTGCCAGAGTCACTGCAAAAGCTACCAAGCTGGCTCAATCAATTTTTTTTACAAAATTCAAGCTCAGCAGCACTGTGTGGCGCTGCAAGCCAGACTTGCTAGGCATCATCTTTGAGCGCCTACATCCAATTTTGTGGGAATTTAGGCACTTTTTGGACAGCACCTTCATGGGTATTCTGTGGGCATTAAATAGCACCAGCCTTTTTTTTGTTCTTCTTCACTTAATGATGTGTTGATAACTTCTTTTCTTGACTTCCTACAACTTTTATTTATGCTTTTAATTATTCCCTTTTCTGTTGTTTCTATTCTTTTTGGATTTGATTTCTTCTTGTTTTTGTTCTTCCTTGCACCTCAAGATAGATGTAGCAACATGAGAGGACCCAGATGTGTGATTGGAGAGATGCAAGGTGAACAGTCAGAGGTGGTCTCAGATGTTAGATAGATTATACTAGACTCCTCACAACAAGTATAATAGTGGTGTACACACCTACAACCCAACATGAAAACCCATGAAAAAAACATATGAAAAACCAACTTCTTTATGGGTTTTTTCATGGGTTTTTTCACATCGGTTGAAATTGGGTAGATCTGATCACCCGTTTGTTGAAAAAAATAGTTGAGTTCAATATAGACTCAACCAACCCCTCCCCTTCATTGCCAACACAACACACCCAAATAACCCAAATCCTTCCACAAAACAGAGATATGCTGCTTGTCTACCTGATGTATGCCCATTTCAAAGTTTCTCTCTCTTTGGTTTGTTTTGACCTTGCAATATGAAGAATTCAAAAGCTGTTGTATTATACAAAAAAAGCACAATTGATTATTCTATTTCAAACAAAAACTGATCTCAGTTGCCTTTCAAAACTTTGAGATGACACTTTTGAAACTAAGACATTTGTGGGATACAAGTAGAAACCCAGAATCAAATCGGTTTTTTCCCGGTTTTTTTGGCTGTAGAATCAGTTTTCCCAGTTTTCCCGAAATAATTCTACAGCCAAAAAACTGGGGAAAAAACTGAGAATTCATTCTGGGTTTTTACTTTGTATCCCATACAGCCATCCCGATATTTCTTGTCGCTCACATTTTTGAAAAGAAAAAGTTTATGAGCTCGAAACCTAAGTTTTAACTAGTTGAAACCTGAAAATTGGCTGTATTTCCTTGAATTACAGCCAATTTCCAAGTTTTATCAAGTAAAAACTTAGGTTTCACCAAGTTTCACTTTTTATTTTTCAGAACAGAGCAACAAGAAATATTGGAATGGCTGTAATTGTTTTCAATTAAAAAACGTATTGTTTCATTTCAAAAAGAAGCTGTCTAAGTTGACTTCTAAGACTTTGAGTCGATACTTCTAGATCTAAAATATTGTTTTTAATTCAAAAAAGATTGTTCTATTTCTAAAAAAAAGCCCAAGATATTGTTTTATTTCAAACAAAAAGAGATGAGATGAGACTTTTAAAACTAAAATTATCTTCCAGTTAAGTGTGAGATTCAAATTAAGGATAACCTTTATCAATACAAAAAGCACGGAATAAATGATCACGGTGTGAATTGCCCAAAGACTCAAAATAAGCCAAACTTTGAGCTTGGTCACAATTCTATCTACCGCTTCCATCATCAAACACAAGATTGAATTTGGAAGGAAACTGGGGCTAGTGGATGGAGTCATGGTTGAGGTGGATGCAAAAAGAGAGATGCAAAGTAGAGTTATAGCCACAAGTGATGACTAGAGATGCATGTGGCCTCTGACTCTAAGCATGTTTTAGGTTGTGATGGGAGTTGGGGCGTTCAAACCTTTTCAGGGCAACCCATGAAAAAAAAATGTCAAAAAAGCCATAAAGAAGTTGGGTTTTCATGTTTTTTTTCATGGGTTTTCATGTTGGGTTGTAGGTTTGTACACCACTAATAAGTGAGCTACAGTCTAGGCATATGTATGCAATCCTCATACTAGGTTAGGATAGGTTATTTGTGAATAAATAGCCGGGATCAGTCCGTCAGAATGAATGCACTGCCCATCTTCCATAATCACCTAACAAGAAAAAAACCAATCAAAATCAGTCACTTTTTGATCAAAGAAGAATAGCCAAGAGAAGACATAAATCCTAAGGGGCTCTTTCATTTGGCATCACAGTCTCACCAGAAAACCACAGTTCAAAAGCCTTTTCATTTCCATTTGTACAATTTTTTTTGAAAGGAAATCATATATTATGATAATCTTGGTACTTTTTTTAATTTCAAAGTGCATTAGTCATTTTTTTTGAAAGGAAATCATATATTTTGATAATCATGGTAGTTGTTTTGTTTTTGAAGTGAATTAGTTGAAGATGATGATCATCAGTCTTTCTACGGTTGAGACTTCAAGACAATTCAATTGGATCTGGATCTAATCATGACTCACAGCTGCAATAAGAGAGAAAATGTTAAATTTTGAACAAAAAAGATCAATCACTTGTTTAGCTGATGATCATGAGTTCAATCTCACTCAAAATTGAGTTTGATAACTTTGAACTTACCCTTGACACCAATGGTAATCCATCAGCCTTCTCTCAAATTGATCTAACTACAAATAAGCAAATTCAGATCAGTCACAAAAAAGTGTTCTGATCAAAGATGAAAAACAAAGAGAACAGCTACATCTTGAGGTGTTCTAGTATAGTCTTGCCCAGCTTCCTGATGTCCACTTACACTAAGCTTTTCTGCAAGCACATTTTTAAACTGATAAATTTTTCAATTGTTTGATTTTGAACCAGATTGGTTGAATCTCATCAGGCTAATTCAATTGTACGACAATTTCATGCTTGTCAGTCTTTGTTGGGTTGGGACTTCAATAATTCTTTTCAATTTGATATAAATTTATTTACAACTTACCACTGCAAGACAAGAGAAGACAGTAAATGTTGATCAAAAAATAGCTTGTTGAGTAATTGATCAAGAGTTTAATTTGGCTCAGAACTAAATCAGATTGTCTTGAACTTACCGCTGACATCAATGGTACCATTTTCTCCTTGTGTTTCAACATCAGTCCCTGATCTGTTAGTCCAAAATAAATAAAGACAATCCCAATCTTCCATATGCATCTAGACACAAAAAGTCAAATTCAGAAGAGTCATCAAAGAAGGTAAGTTTTGATCAGAGACAAAAACACAAGCAAAAGACATACCTCTTGAGGTGTTGAATCATCTAGTATTAAAGTCTCGCCCAAAAATTCAAGTCTGAAAATGTTTCTATCTTGACTTACACCCAACTGGTCTGCAATAATATTATTCAATTTGAAAAGCTTTGCAGTTGTTTTCATTCTGAGGTAGATTGGTTCAATCTCATCGGGCTAAGTCATTTGGGACAGAATTTGATAATTGTCAGTCTTGCTAGGCTTGAGACTCGATTTCTGTTTCCATTCGCTATGAATTTGAGTACGGCTTACCACTGAGATAACAGAGCAAATGATAAATTTGAAACAGGTGAAGTTAGTATCACGATTGCGACAAAAATAGCTTCTCTTGTCGATGTTCAAGAGTTCAATTTAGAACAGAGTCAAATCTGATCATCTTGCGCTTACTCTTGACTCTAAGGGTGATACTTTCTGCTTCTGCTCCAACAGCCGTTCCCGGTCTCGTAATCCAAAACAAATACAAACAATCTCCATCTTCCATATTCATCTACCACAGAACAAACTCAGATCAGCCATGTGAAAAAGAAATGTTCAATCAACAAAGAAAGTTGAAGAGAAGACATACATCCTCAGGGGTTGAGTCATCTACTCGTAAAGTTTCACCCAAAAATTCTAGTCTAAAAGCTCCTCCATGTCGACTTACACCATATTTTCTTGCGATGTGATTGTATATTTTGGTAAGTTTTGTAGTTTTTTTGATTTTAAAGTATAAGGGTGGAATCTCATCAGGCTAATCAAAGAATTGTGATCGAATGTGATGTCTGATCAGTCTTTCTTGAGTCAAGGTTTGATTCGAATCATCCTTCAAGTCGACATCAATTCAATGGAGACTTACAACTATGATAAGAGAGAAACAGTCAATTTTGGAACGCTAATTAGCCTCATAATCGAAAACGAACATCAATTTGACTCGAAGGATATTTTTGGCAAGAAACAAAATCGAAGTTTAGGAACTCACATGCGACCTTGATTGAAATATGTTGTGTTTCTGGCACGACATCATGAGAAACAGTAGATATAATCACCATGCTTTGATAAGTTTTTCGATTGGATATTGCAAAATGAAGTTGTGTTTTACAGAAGTTGAGGAAGGAGATGAGGCTGTGACACTGTGCGAGTGGAGAGCGACCCCGCATAGGGGCTTTAAAAGGGACTCGCATTTTTTTGGCGGGAGAGCTCTAGAAATTAAGTCCCTTAAGTACGTTTTTAACTTCTTCGCTTCACCTGATCACCATAGAAAGTCCCAAGTTTTGGGTATGTTGTTCTTCATCTCTTTATACATATTTTGATACGGCATACATTGGATCACGTTGAAGGGAAGGAGGAAGGGTAATGAAAATGTGTTGAAAGTCTTGTAACTTTAACAAAAGTTGCGGTGACCGGGTCTCAAGTTTTGTTTGCAATGCTTTCCTCACATTAGGTTTGCTGAGCACCCTTTTTTGGATTCACTGCTTTATCTTCCCTATCAGGTGGTACTTGAACCACTTTATCCCTCTCTGTCGTGTATGCATGACCCCTTCCCCACTACCTCATCATGAAGGACACCTTTGCAATGTCAAAATGTTTCTCCAAGTCTAAACCAAAAGACTTATGAAATAGCTGAAACAGAATTATGATGTCTATCTTCAAGAAATGTGAAGCAGTTGAGACAATGCAATAATATCAAGGGTTGAATTTAATAATTGGGATATGATAGGAATCAGGAATCTTGACTATGTGTATATGCAAGTCCTTTGAGTTCCTATGGGTGCTACTGTCAAAGGCTTATGAATTTCAGACGGATACTTCAAATCCCCAAATCCAATGTTCTCACTCAAAACTCAGCATTTTGAACATTTGAGAGCAGATTTGAGATCCTCAGTCTTATGTCTGTGCACATGTAGCTTTTCTCAAATATTGACCTGCAGTTGTCCATGGATTGTCCAGGTGTTGTTTTTGAGTGGAAATTTGGATTTGATAATAAAAAAACAAAGGAAAATAAAGAAAGACAAACTTGTAATCAGATCCTCTAGAAATATAGATGGAAAGCAACCAGGTTGAGCATTCTTCAGATGGTCTTAGGAGATTGAAATGTTGACTTTTGAGCAAGAACATCCAATTTGATGGTTGGGGCTGAAATTCATTTCCATTTGTGAGTCGTGAAGAGTGTTGATCAGTCGTGAAGAGTGTTGATCAAATCTAAGGTGAACACATTGTAAACAAGGCTTGTTGTTGAAGGTAGTTGCAAACCCAGTCACCACAACTTTCTTCAATCAAGTTTGGCACCTAGTGTCAAGTCACCTCTGTACACCCGTCTGTCCCATGTATAACAGTTAAGAAAAGGGCGAATACAGCCTTTATTGATGGGAGACGTGTGTCTCCCTTTGTCTCTCCTTGTCTCGGAAGTTTTCCCACCTACTTAAGATACGGGGACTGGGCCAAATATCTTTAAGATTTATGCCCGATGTACTCGGACATCACGTTTGCCAAACGGGTCCAGGGCATAAGCACCCACATGCATTGATTGGGCAAGTCCCACACGATCACATCACCATTTTACTTCACACCGCCACCCACCGCTCTGTTCCCTAAGAAGATAAATCAACAAGAACACCGCTTAAAGACAAGGCACGACAACAAAGGAACCCAACGTACACGTCACCCATGGTATCACAATACAAAGACTGTCGATTGTCTTCGATCCTAATTCCTTCAAACCAACCCTCCCTCTATTCGATCATCCTTTAACCCGATTTTCTTGAGCTCGAACTCTTTGTACTCTATCTCTGATCAACTTATCATTATCAGGACCATTAGTCACTTCAGTTTTTTTTTCGTAATATTTATTTCAATTTATATCAATGCCACGAAAAAATGAATCCCGGATCTATGGCGACGTCAAGCTCTTTCAAAAAAGAAAAAAACGCCAACGCCAGACCGTAGAACTCAACGTCGACACGGACGCTCAAGTCTTTAATGTTGCTCAAACCCTCGGAATGATCCCGCCTGCGTCTGCGCCTCAAGCTGCACCCGAACCTGCACTCAACCCTTCAGATCAGGATGATGATGGTTGGGAAGATATCAACGATATCCCACAGTACTTGCGAGAATTCATTCCAAACTCTCCTCCACACTCACCTGTTGTCGATCCTGACTGTAATAACTTTTATCGGAGGCATAGAGGACTTCTTGCGATTCATCAGCGAAGTAAAGTGTCCGACGCATGGAAAGCTCTTTTACCCCAGCTTACCGTTATCTACCTTGAACGTCAACATCACACCTTGAATTGGTCAACACACACCTCCTATCTAAATGACCATCCAAAGTGTTCATGTACAATCTTTACTACTCGAGAATTTGATTTGATTGGTTCAACAGGTGAGTTCATCTAGTCTTATGACTCCTTTCGTTACTCATACTCACATTCTGCCAATTCTCAGGCCGCATGCGCAAACAAGTTGTACAAGTCTGCTCGTGCAAGCCTCTTCCGATTCAGTTGATGCACTACGGCTACCTTGCAGGATCCCACGACTTCCCCACTGTTGCATTTTCTATACCCCTGGTTCAGCTCTTCCACGAGATCTGGAAGAAGACGACTTTATCTCTTAGTGGATTTTTTGAAGGTTATATGGCGTTTCTTGACTCGCGATCCAATACTTACCTGCATACCCGTAACTCCAATTACATAAATCGAAATCTAAGACGTCAATTTACTCAGGCTGTTGATGTGTACCGAAGTATCCTCAAGCAACAGAAGACGGTTTACCAACATGCGCTTAACTTGTCACCATCACAACTGCTTGCAGATCAATGTCCTAGGTGCTTTGGTTCCGCACGCGGCGAACTAAAGACTTCACCCGATGAACTTGATTTCATATTGGCCATGGATGGTAATTTTCAACATCGTCATCACCTCAAAGCTTCTACCGATCAACCTACAGAAGAAGACTATCCATCTTTATTCATACCTCCTTCGAAAATATCAATTCACGAGCGTAAAGTTGAAGACACAGCTTCTCAAGCTAAAGGTCTCAAGGTGAGCAATTTTTGGGTTTATCTTTATCTTTATTTTATTGTATCTTGAGATTAGCTGACACCATACCTTTTCTCCCAGACGGCGTGCTCTGAATCTCACACCGCGGCAGATGATGTTCGCAACAGCTCATCTTGGGAACAATGTGATGACACAGGTGTTTTTGGGAGTACCTGTCGCCATGATGTTCCTTTACGGCTTGTAAACATCTACAAAAGTGGAGAGAAGTGAGTCAAAAGAGTTCTAAATTGAGAGATAAAATTTACTGACTATTTGATCCAACTTAGGCTACATTATGCGATAACCATTCTTGACAATATACTTGAGGCCTTTCCTGAAGCACGAGTCGGTTGTTTATACGATATTGGATGTCATCTTGATGTTCATATGGAAAAAGTGAGTTTATTTTCTCTTTCTTGATGATTTAAAATCAATTAACTCAATCTAATAAAATTGTTTTTGATTCAGCGAAAACTTCTACCACAATACCGAGAACAACTTGCCTTTGCTACGTCAGTTTTCCATGCGTATGCACATCAGTGGCCATGTCAAATCATGTACCATCCACGTTTCATCAAATACTTTGGATTATCCGACGGAGAGGGACTCGAAAGGTTGTGGTCATTTCTATCCGATTTAGTTTCACTCAATCGGGTCTGCACACGACTTCATCGGCTTCAGTCAATCAATATACGTGCTGAATTGTATGGCGAAGAGCTTACAGTTACATCTGGTACGTGAACAATTTGTAACTCTAGATCTGCAAACCTAACTGATTGACTCAAAATTTCAGCAAAGTGGCTAGTGAAAAAATATCACAATGCCGTGGAAGTCTTTGGCTTGTCCCAGAACGCCTTACTTAATCTCTACAAACTTGAAAACCCAGCCACTGGTCGAAGATATTCGAGTAGATTTTTCCGTGAGCAGTGGGAATCTGAACGTGCAGCACAAGGTAGTAAAAACCATCACCTGGATAAGATGCGCTTGAAATTAGGAAACCTCCTTTGCTTACGAGATAATTTTCAAAAACAGTGGTAAGTTTCCATCAGAATTTCGGTCAGTAGGAGGATTTCTACTGACAAGATGTTGATAATAGGAGGGCTATCAATTTCACTGCTGAACAAGAAGCCACACGTGTACAAACGTTGATTACACTCAATCAGCAAATACAAGAAGCAAGCAATAAAGTAGGCAGTGCAGGTGATACAGTCTTTACTGATAGTACGTGATCTTATCTCATTATTTTCTTATCTTTGTCATGTTAACATTGATTTCGTTCTCAGAAGATCATAAGGAGGTCATGTTAAAGCTGTGGAGTAGTAAGCACGAGTTGCGAATGAAATTCATAAGTGTATGCGAAGAAAAACGCCCCTTACAACTTAGTCGAACTGATGGTAGGTCCTCAAACCTAGGTAAGTTTTTTCCTCTCAAATAGAAGAACTTAATGCTTACTGACTGATATGTATATACAGGTGCCAGTCGAAAATCGATTGTGATCAATGCTGTGAGAAAGCATGCATTGGCGCTCAAAGGAACTCTCGAAACTTACCTAACTCAGCTGGCAAATTATCGCAAGGTCTTTCCAACCGACATAATACCAGACCCGGCCTTGATGGACCACAATCGGTTGCTTGTGCTAGAGCCGGATGCACCGTTTTGGAATGATGGCTTCATCACCCACGCCAACGAGCCTTGGGCCATCGATCCCAACACACAGCACGGTATGAGGCAATTAGCATATTACGAAAGATCAAAAGAAGAGATACGTCGCATTGGATGGGAGATACGGCGTTCAATGCGATGGGCAATTCAACGGCATATATCTTTGATGGACTTATTTCAAGACCTTAGGAAACCCGAACCGACTTCTGATGCTGCTCAAGCATTTTTATCTTCACCGTTCCTCTCTTCACCTGACACAACCAACATATCGGATGCAGCGACTGCGATTGTCTGGAATCGCCTTGTCAATGTCTTACATCTACAAGAGGTGTGGAATTTAGACCTTATGAATATTTTTCTCAAGACCGATCTTCAAGACGGGGATGGACAACTCCTTGAAGAGTGGGAGTCTCAAGTTTCTTTGATCGCCAGACTGCGTGCAAATGGCAGTTTAACTCCAGTCCTCGGCAATTTCTCAACTATCACAGTGGAGTCTTTTGAATCTGACACCGACCCAGATCCCACCGACACCGATAACACAACAGCTGACGAGAAATCTTCAGATGCTGGATCTAGTGACGATGAAGAGATGCGGATTCTGGAGGTGTTGAATGAAGAGGATGCACTCAGTGCTCTATCTAGTGCACTCCATTTGACTGATTTGAACAATCCTGATGCATCAGATGTGCCTCTGCTTTTTGTAAACTGAATATTCCTGGTTATTCTTTTGTTTGACTGGTTATTTTTTTGTTTGACTGGTTATTTTTTTGTTTGACTGGTTATTTTTATGTTTGATTTTGTTTGATCTTTTTCTATCATCTTGTTCTCCAAAACTGTGCGCGGATTACATTTGTTTAAGAGTTGGCAATTATACATGATGATTGATATGATACTGTAAACATTGATACACAATGATAAGCTTCAATTGCTTGATTATTTGGTTTGCCACAAATGGTACCAATATAGTACAACTTGGCCAACATTGATCTGAACAAGTTTTTCTCTGTTTGAAAGATTTTCATAAGAGAATTCTATGTGAAGTTTATTATTGGTGTTTTTACTAACAACAAAACCTTGATATTAATTTTGCACTTCTTCTGACCGTGACCAAATACCAATATTGCATTTCAACCTACAAAAACTACAATTGCTCAGCGGTTGTTGATGTATAATAGTTAAAGATGGTTGATACAATTGAACAAGTATATGGTAAACAGTTTTGAACCATACTCAAGCAATATTCATATGGCTAAAAGATGTTATGTTTGTATAACATCGCAAAAATGCTACTTAGGGGTTTGGGGTTGAGAAGACAAAAAATTTGATAACTCAGTTGTTGTTGATGGAGGAAGCTTCAATGTTGTTCAGATATGTTTGAAAAATGTATCTAAAACACTTATGAACAAAACTTTCACCCAACTCACCCTCACTCACATGCCTGGATAATCTTATGTTGGCATATTCAGCGTGGAACACGATGTATATCACTTTTTGTCGATGAAAATTTAGTCAGATTTCAAAGTGATTTTGAGGCTATTTGCCAATAATAAACCCCCCCTAAAAAACCCTCAAGAATTCAATTCCACATTCAAAACTACCATAAGACCAAAATTGTCTGAGATATGGGCATGGAGAAAAGTGCGCAAAAAGCTATTTTGCCCCTAAGGTCCATCAAGACCAGCAGAAAATAAAGAAGTATTATATTAAACTTACTATAAAATTATTCTCTGAATATATTTCATTAATACATATTTAAGTTTGGAGCAATATTGAATGATTTATACCTCTTTTATGTGGTTTATACCATTACAAAAATTGACATAATTGCACATAAGGCCTTCAAGAACTGGGAATATGAGAAATTCTTGATTTCAAACTCATTTTATATTTGAATTTGCAACATTTTTCATCTACACATCAATAGGTTTAGAGCAATATTGCCCGGGCTATACTACTTTTGTGTAGTTTGTACCATCTCAAAACCTTGCAACATACCCAATAAGGCCTTCAAGAACTGACATTATGAGAAAACCTTCATTTCAAACTCATTTTGAAATTTTATTTCAAACATCTTTCATTGAAGCATAAATACATTTGGACTGATATTGACAGAGGTATACCATATACCACATTAATATGGTACGTACTATTATAAAAGCCTACGTCACAGCACATAATGCCTTCAGAAACTCACATTATAAGAATTCCATTCTTTCAAACTGATATTTAATTTTGTTTTCCAAAAATTTTGATCAATACATCAGTACATTTAGAGGTATATTGACTGAGGTAAACCAACTTTATTGCCTTTGTACCATATTGAAGTATTACAAAATCACACATATGTCCATCAAGAAATGACAATATAAGAAAAACACATTATTAAACTCTGTCTAAAATTGGTTTCTTGATATTCATCATTGAAGCATGTTCAACTTTGGAGCAATATTGACTGAGTTAAACCAATTTTGTGTGGTTTGTACTATCTAAAAACTGCACATAATTGCACATATGGCCTTGAAGGAGTGACAATATCAGAAATCTATTCTTTTGAACTCATGATGATTTTGTTTTCTTAATATTTATTAATATTATATAATCCCCTTCAGAGAAATAATGACTTATATACATCACATTTAGGTGATGTGCACCATTTCAAAACTTGGCATTTTTGCACATATGACCATCAAGAACTGACATTATGAGAAACATGTCTTATGTAACTCATTCTAGATTTTCTTTCTGAACATTTATTATCTTTACATCATAAGCTTTGGAGCCATGCTGACTGAATTACATCACTTTTATTGTGGTGCATACCATTTCAAAGCCCCACATTCAAGTCCATATAGCCTTCAAGAACCAATATTATGAAAAGTATTTCATAATAACCTCTTTGTGAAATCAGCCTCTGAGCATCTTGTGTTATTGCATCATGAAACTTAGAGCAATTTTGAATGCTTTATACCATTTTTCAGCGGTTTGTGCCATCTCAAACCTCGACTTTGTCATTTCGATTATTTATCAAGCTTTTTATTTTAATTTTTTTTATTTCAAATTCGGTGGTTTTAGGCGAGTTTTGTATGATGTATGAGCCAGTTAAGTGTTTTTTCTTTGGTTAAGTTGGTTTTGTAAAGTTTATTTTGAAAACTGACCTTTGTGTTTTACAAAAAACATTTCAAATCTTCCCTCATTCTTTTCATCGCGCCTGATATGGACTCACATAACCCACATCTGCAAGGATTTCCTCCACAACCGTTCCAACCAATGCATCAGCCTAATCAGCAAACTAATCAGCCTTTCGATCATCGTCCTTTCCAGCCAATCGATCCAGCTCATCAAGATCTTTCGCATCAAACTTATCAAACTCGTCATCAACCTCATCAAGGCTATCAAGCTCAAGCTCATCAAGATTATCAAGCTCAACCTCATCAACATTATCAAGCTCAACCTCATCAACATTATCAATCTCAAGCTCATCATCAATCTCAATCTGAAACTCATCAAGGGCATCTACCCCAAACTTGTCAACCGCATCAGGCCCGATTTCATCAAAGTAATCAACCTCTCGATCCAATGCATCCAGATCTCTCTTTGCAGAGTTTTGAACGTGATTACGAAGGTTTCTCCCAACCTACCAATCATCCAGCTTTAAATCAACATTGTTCGACTCTGAATCAACCTATTCGAGCTTTTAATCTCAATCAAATCGAGCCACACTCTCAACAAGTCCCCCCCCGTCTATCTCTATCTGATTTACCTCAAAATGTACACAATTCCACATCCATGAACACCATTCAAACACCCTCCCATCGAACACTCTCTCAACATACGCCTTCTCAGGCTACCGTTCCTGCTGGTCCAGACTCACAACAAAATAAATCAAAATCCAAAAAGAAAAGTGCTGTTGCCGCAAAAGACTCGACTGTATCAACTCGGAACGTTCTCAACGGGTTTTTACCAAATACATCATACAACCATGGACTTGACCTCGAAGCACAAGGTCTGAGTGCCGAAGAATTAATGGAAAAGAAGTCTCTTGATGAACTTCGACTTTCCGCCGAACAAGTTGGCAAAAGTCTATTATCAGAGGACGACGAAATACATTTTCGGAATCTCTATGAGGAAATGACCAAGGCGTTAGCAATCAACTGCCTTGGTAGAGGAGTCAGACTTTCAGCTGTCGAAACATACTTGTAAGTTTTTCATCACATGAGTTTTCATTATTCAGACCTTTCACCGATATATATTTTCAAACCACTTGTTCCTGTAGAGGCCACAAGCAGGCCTTCCGAGAACCCACTCGTTGGCATGGCTTTACTCAAACACCTGAAAGCCGAGCGGTTTACCGAGAGCGTAAGTAGTGTATTATATTGATTGATAAGCATAAGCAATTTGATTGACAAACTCCCCTATCCTTTTTTGCTTTCTAGATGGGGGTGTTAAAAATGGCCAAGCTGTTAAGGTTCTTAAGTCTGAATACGATAAACTGACAGAGGAAGAAAAGGATCGATACAAGCCCAAATCGAAGCTGGAAATCATCATTGAACGAGGCGAGGAAGAGCAAGCCATCGACAACAACGGTGACGGTGGGGTTTCCTCCCAACCAGGTGGTGGTTCTGATCAAGGTAATGATCAGTCAGCCATCCAAATGCGTAAAAAGTCTCGATCCTTTGTCGAGGATCAAGGTGTGGTCATCAACTGGTTAAAAAAAGTGAATTCAACTGTAAGTGATTTTCATAGGATTGAAACTTAGATAGCCTACATACCAAAATGTAGATAAATAACTTGTTCCCTGCTGTAGATGCATCGGCTTGCTAAAACCTATCATCTCGAAGGATTTGTCATGCTAGTGTCAACACACATCGCTCATGGATCCCTCCAACTGATCCGAGCAACCCCGGGGGCTCTGAAATGGCATGATGCGACGAAACGTGTTAATCCTGAAGATAACTGTGTTACCAACCTTCAATCGTATATCCTCGGACGGAAAGTGGGACTTGTACCTGATGTTTCATTAAAAAAAGGTATGTATATAATTGTTTTTCTACTCTCATCTACACTGATATCCCATAGCTTATAAGGTAAACTTTCACCTTAGATAAATCCGACAAAACAGAGGCAAGACAACTACTAGCAACTAGGCTTTGTAAGTTTTTTTCTGATATTTATGACCGTGAAATCACATTAACTGACATACATGTTGTTTGGTACAGTTGAGTTTTCAAATGAAAAATATACAAAATGGCCATGGAAAAATTGTGTAGAAACCCTCAAGGGTTGGGGCTATGAAGTCACCGCTCTGCCAAGTGCTTGTTCGCAAATCGAATGGATAACTTCCCAAAAGGGAAGCAATGCACTGACCAACTCACAAGCGCGAATGATCCTGAAGGACTTGCGTATGGATTTGATCCAGCTCGGTCGACTCACTAACTCATCCGTATCAACAGACTCAACCCCCAGAAAGCGACTCCGTCCTTCTTCTGATGTAGAAGTTTCAGAAGAAGAGTAATAATAACCCAAAGAGAAAGATTTCATTCAACTGATTCCTTTTGTTCTTTTCTTTTATCTCTCATGTTATATCTTTTATCATGTTATATCTTTTATTTCGATCAAAATATTTCTTCTTTTCATTCATTTCTTTTCTCTTCTCATGTTATCTCTTTTACTTTCAAGGTGCCAAAGCGCTGTTTTTCTAGATCACGCTTATCTTTTGGCTCGCACTTTTTTTTTCATCGGCTCAAAGGATTTTTTGACCATTCTTTTGTTCTGACTCGCGAGCAATGTCAATCATCAATTGGTCTACTATACATGAATTACACTGTCATGATCTGAGAGTTGTGAGGAAATACATGTGCGACAAACTGGCGAAAAAAATCACCTGTTTTGCAATAACAAATCAAAACTTAAATGAAAATAAAGAGGCAGTGAAAAAAATAAGTGACCTCTCGTGGTGTTGGCAAATTTGACAAACGGTATTGTTTGTTAAACTTGGTGCATCCAAAGCTTTGAGATCTCTTCTTTGAGAATAGAGTATCGTTCGGCATGTTTTTTTTTTTTTTTTTTTTTTTTTTTCAGTGCGAAGTTGCTTCATTGCATATTACACTTTCTGAACAGTACACAAAGGAGACTAGTACACCAGAGAAGTAGGTCATCTAGTCAAGTACAAGAATTAGTGGTGCCTGTAAATTGAAGATACCGCATGTGGGTGTTTATGCCCTGGACCCGTTTGGCAAGGGTAATGTCCGAGTGCCCCGAGTGCATCGGGCATGGATCTTAAAGATATTTGGCCCAGTCCCCGTATCTTAGGTGGGAAAACTTCCGAGACAAGGAGAGACAAAGGGAGACACACGTCTCCCATCAACAAAGGCTGTATTCGCCCTTTTCTTAACTGTTATACATGGGACAGACGGGTGTACAGAGGTGTGTCAAGTGATCCCCTGGTGTCAATTTACAAAAGCTTGACCTAGGTTGCCCAGAGAATTCCAAGCCCAAAGGAACAGGCGAGCAATGTGAAGCGGAGCAAACGCGAGCGTGACTTTCCCAGACGTGTGATATTTACTAGTTTCACACGTCCGGATTATGCTTGTCGTGAGACAAGCAAGGAATCATGGGTTTGCCTAACCCCATGCATCCAACCCATGATTCCCTCAGACTTCGCCAATATACGACGATTCGGTTTTGACGATCTCAAAACAATGGATGATGGCCCATAGATTTAAACCAAAACAACTTGATTGAGGATAATTTTATGAGAGTAATTGTCCTCTTCCAGGGTCAATCTCCACAGCTCAGCCAGCAACTGCTTGGGCTTCCCTTTTTCACGCATGATACTATTACCATCCCCTCATGCGCTTACGATCCTTCTATGTTTCTGATAGATGGTATCCCTTCAGAAAGCCGGAAAATTGCTTTAACCATACCCAAAAGAATCTTCGATCCACACACATCGCATTAACTTGCACAAGTGACACACGCAACCCTTTACCACTAGAAATGCGGCCACATCTCTATGGCTACTTATTTGATGTTGGCCAATGGCGGGATCAAAAGTGTTCAGAACTTCTCTGCATACTTCCATTGTATCTAATAGTGCAGTAAGGATACGCGACTGATCCAAATATGTATTGTTTATAGATTGTCACTCAACGTATACGATATCAATGATTGCCGTGAGGTTAGGTCGTGATTGGATTCAAATATTGTGATCATGGTTTTAGTGGATTTGATCTAGGATCACCTTTGGCCATGGGCTACGTTGGGGTGTATCATGATTCATGATCATGACCAGTTTGGGGAAGTGGGTGTATGTTACGTGATAGTTCATGTAATTGGATTATCCGGAAAAGGTGTTATGGTTTTATTTGGGGACTGTACAGCTGCGACGCAGGATTGACAGCGCTCGCTCTGGCCCGCGCTCGATTGTGCTCGCCAGTTCCACTGATCTTGCCATGCTCTCAGGTTGCCTGCAAAACTCCAGAAAATTGGCAGGGAATTTGTAACACGTTTTTTTGAATTGACTGTATGCTTTCAAATAGCTTCAGCTCAAGAGGGACTTGGTTAGGTTTGTATCAGTTGCTGTGTGAGATGTGAGACCACCATGAGACTACAAGACTACAACAAGAGATTATATATGCATTTACATATCTGAGATGGATGCCAGCAAAATCTGATATGACCAACAGATGTATGTCACAATTTTCAATTCTGTCAGAACCTGAAGCAATACAAATCTCTCATTTCCAAAACACGGCTTTATAAAGAACATATTTATAAACAACAATCATATTGGTCAGAACCTTGGCTGAAGCAATATAATGATTTCAAAAATATCTTATTTCCAAAACATGTCTTTATGAAGGAAAGATTGGTATATTGATAAACAACAAACAAATCAAAATCTTGTGGCTTACTTTCAAAGTTCTACATGCAAGGACTACACTTGAAGTCAAGATCAAGCTTTGAAAGTGGATGGAGTCAATCAATTCAAAATACCTTTGAATGTAATTTTGGGGGCCACATTGATTGGAGAATGACTATGTTTGTATTATCTTAAAATGACAGCAACTTGATTAATAAGATCTTGTGAATGAATATCAAAGTTCTACATGCAAGGAATACTATCAAAGTCAAAAAGCTTTCAAAATGGATGGAGGCAATTGATTCACAATCCCTTTAAATGTGATGAGACAATATGTATATAAAAAAATCAAAGAACTTATTGAATTTTTCATCCACTTCAGCAGAAGTCAAATTCAAATCACTACAAGCACCATCACAAGTTTTAAAACAAATCACTTGCAGTAAGCCCACTCAGAACACCTCAAGACATCCATGCACAATGAACATACCCCAAGAAACTGCAACAAATCCCTAACTTAACAAACACCTCACAAACCAACTCAACCCCAAGACTCTGAAATCAACTAACATCAATGAACCTAAACTCCTCTCACCTCTGACAAAGTGACCTCAAACACTACATCCTCCACCTCCTCAAACCTCTAAAAGATTCTATCCAAGGTTTGAGATCAAAGAATACCTTGATTGGAAAAGTCCGAGGTAAATATGCTGGCAGATATTTTGAGGTCTTGATTTGCTATTAAAATCTCATGAACACAGTTAAGTCCAAAATGGGTTTGATTACCATCAAATTGCTCTGCACAACTAAATCCTACATCCTAACAAATGTTTTACTCGCTCCAACTTTCAAAATCCATGACATATGTGCTGGAACAGGCTGATCAAATTATAATACAATTGAATGAATCATCTATCATTCAATATGGTGATATGACCTCTTTTGGTGTGACATAGATTTCACGATGACACATAGCTGGAATAAAAAACATCAGGTAATGAGCAAGTTTGTGTTAGTATTATATTCCAAAACAGAACAGAACAATTCATTACTGTTAGACTGATATGAGTGATTCAAAACGCTAATCATTCAAAAAGTTGTATCCGAGTGAGATTGAGATCTATTGAACTTACAAGTTACTTGCAGTGAACATTGTTGACCTGGTACTGCAACCCAAATGAAATCAAGACAATCCTCATCTTCTATTTTCAACTAAACATAACCAACCAATTCAGATCAATGACAAAAAAGTGACAATCGACAAGAACAAAGAGAGAGAACATACATCATGAATCGTTAAATGGTCTGGTCGTATATACTGGCCTTTGAAAATTAGTCTAAAATACTCTCTATATCCACTTACACCAAATTGTTTTGCAACTGCATTATATATTTTGATCATCTTTGTAGTTCCTTTAACTTTCAAGATCAAGGGTTCGCTATTGTCAGGCTAATGAAATTCTAACAGAATTTGATGATGATTAGTATTTTTCAAGGTTGAAATTTGAACGTTCTTTTCTATAATAAGAATTTAGTGATGACTCACCACTGTAATGATTGTAAATGGTGCGTTATATGACATTGGATGTTAACAATTTTCAATCGAAGAAAAAATCCCAAGTTGTTGGGTTAATGTTCAATAATTGAATTTGACTCAAATAATTTATCATTCGGAGGTGTTGACTTAAAGTTCAAATTTGAATTCCAACTTACACTTGACTATGAGTGTGATATTTTGCCTTCGTGCTGCAACAACTGCGCCTGGCATCGCAATCCACATCAAATGCACACAATCTTGATCTTCCAGCCCCATCTAAATATAAGATATAAGTCAGCTACAAAAAGGGAATGTATTAAAAGAGGAATAACAAAAGAAAGAACATACATCTTTGGGTGTTGAATCGTTTGGATGTATAAGACGATCATCAAACACAAGTCTAAAAGGATTTCCACCTTCACTGACACCGTAATATTTTGCAACTCCCTGATATATGTATTTAAAGGTTGCAGTTGGTCGAACTTTTAATGACAATCCATCATTCTCATCAGGCTAAAAGATGTAAAAGAATTTGATATTCATTGCTCTTTCTAAGGTCAAGACTTATATGATTTTTCCAAGTGATGTGAATTCAATCATGACTTACAATTAGCCTTGAAGATGATGGGTCTTGACGAAGTTCTGGCATCACAATCCAATCCAAAAATCATTCATATCTTGTAAAGATGATGTCCAAGGGTTGAATCCGCCTCAAATAATTTGATTATCCAGATTTCGAATTTAAACCACTTGGACTTACGCTTGATCCTGAGGGTAAGACCTGGTCTTGGAGGTTCAATAACTGGGACCGGCTCATCAGCCCAAACTAAATGCATAAAATCGCCCTCTTCCATATCCATCTAATGACAAAAAGAACAAAAGGAGTATAGTCAGATTTTTGATCAAAGAAGAATGTAAAAGAGAAGACGTACATCTCGAGGCGATGTTTGATGTGGAACTAAAGTCTGACCAAGAAAGTCAAGTTTGAAATTCTTTTGAATTCCACGGTCACGAAAGCTTCCTTCCAAGTAATCATATATTTTTCCGAGTTTCGAAGTTTTGTTGATTTTGAAGGTCAAAGGTTGAATCTTATCAGGCTAATGCAATGGGAATAGAATTTGATGATTGTCAGTCTTGCCGATGTTGAGATTTGAAGATTGTTTCGATTTGATGTGAGTCGAATTATGACTTACCACTACAATAATGAAGAAAATGATAAATTTTGAGACATTTGAAGTTAGTATTACAATCGCAAACAAAAAAAGCATACGATGTTCACAAGTTTGGGTCGACTCAGAACTCGATCTGATCATTTTGAACTTACACTTGACTCCAATGGTAATAATTCCGCCTTCTGGTCCGACAGCTGTTCCCAGTCTCTTGATCCAAAACAAATAGATACAAGCTCCGTCTTCCATGCCCATCTGCCACGAAAGAACAAGATCAGATTAGTCTCAGTTTCAATCAATAAAGAAATTTAAAAAGAGAAGACATACATCTTCAGGTGTTGAACCATCTAGTATCAAAGTCTCGCCCAAAAATTGAAGTCTAAAAGCCTGTCTATCTCGACTTATACCATAGTTTTCTGCAATGGTATCACATATTTTGATCAGTTTTGTAGTTTTTGAGAGTTTAAAGAACAATGGTTGGGTTCCATCAGGCTAATCAATCAATTGTGATAGAATGTGATCATTTTCAGCGTTTTCAAGGTTGATATTCGAACAAAAAAATCAATTTGATAGGGTCGATGATGACTTACAACTATATAATAAGATAAAACAGTTAATTTTGGTATCAGCATTGGGAACGGAGATCATTTTGAGTCTTTTGAATTGGAGGTGAACTTCATAGTTTCTGAACTCACAGATAACTTGGACGGTGATATGTCGTGTTTCTGTTGGAGTAGTGGTGTTTTGATAATTGTTTGTGTGGATGATCATGTTTTGATAAATTTTTGATTGGATGAGAAGTGAATGTGAACGACCTCTCGACGTGAATGATTTTGTTTGTGAGAGTGTAATGTGTGAGTCGTGACAGTGTATGTATACAGGAATCGCAAGGGATGTAACGTGAGTGAAAGCTATGTAAAAGTTAGTAATTTGAATCACAATGTTGTCTGTGGTGAGTGGTAGTGGTTTGAGAGGAAATCATTCGAATCCAACATGGAAATCAATCAAGATCAAGTTCCGATCACCAATCCTCAGATTCAGTCTCTAGCCACATTCACTCCTTCAGCTGGACCATCAATAACTTCTAACAATGGACTACCTCCTTCTCCATCACCTGCTCAATTTCTATCAACACATGCATCAAACTCACCTATGATTCTAGTCGAACAATCTAATTCGATAGCCAAAGCTTTGGATGATATCTTTCAGTCTATTACTTCTATAGCTAAGCTTCAACTTCAACTTCGACACGTCAATGCTGATCGCTATGTGGATACTACATCAATCATGTCTGCTTTGGTTAATCCACTCAATGAGAACATTGCCTTATTTGACTCGAATCTGGATGTCATTGAAAAGTTTGTGGTCAGTACTTTTGTGATGTCCATCCATATTTCCCCTTTACGCTGCTCACGTAACCTATCTCTCAAATGTAGACCCTAGCAATGGCAGTTGTCCGACGTGATATGAGACGCGCGCATATGATATCTTTATCTCAGATGCGACAAGAGGCTTCCAGGAGAGAGTCAACTCAATTATCCCAACAAGCAGACCTAGCCGCTAACTCAGCAATCCCAACAGCGCAACCAGATGAACCAACTGGAACAAATGAGCAGGTTAAGATGGACATAGAGATGCAACAAAACTTACCATCGGAAGCTTTGACTGTCGACGCCGTTTTAGAAAATCGTCCGACTGGAATTCCTCCAATGAACCCTGAAGGCGATCAGAACTCGATCACATTCAAGGACACAGTCAATACCATGGGGACCCATACCGATCTCTCTCATTCTGATACTGTCCTGGATCCCAATGCTTCAAATGTGAATTCGGCATCTCAAGTGACTGAACTTCACCCAAGTCTAGATCCGAATCAAACAAGTTCTATGGTACAAGACCCATCCAAACGTCCGATCACTCAAATTAATGATAATTCTAGCATAAATGAAACACTGGTTGGCTCACTCGTGCCAGGAAATCAGACACCAATCATTATCGATGACGAATCAGGCCCCCCCAAGAAAAAACTAATGATTGATCTCATCTCGCCTTCGCTATCACCTGTCCCTCCTACCAACAATCCTGGTGCGCCCATCAAGATCGTTGACAATCAAGCGATGCCCGCATTGGCTCCTGCTCTTCCTATCGGAGGCACTTCTTCAGAGACCACTGGTACCATTCCCGTGTCAACAGTTCCTCTCACGCGCGATCCTTCTCTGTCAACACTCCCTGAGGCTGTAGCAATGGAAACCGTCAATGCTGATTCAAAGTCGAAGTCAGGCTCATCGGAATCTCCGGATGGTGATCTTTTTGGAGATGGAAGTCTCTTTGGATCGAACAATAACTCGGCTTTACCATCACCTCTGAACCCATTGGCTCCTACTCCGGTTATTCCACCTGCTCCCGAACCTAGATCAATGCTGGATCTTTCTAGTTTTCTTACTAATTCTGTTCCATCCGGATCGACTTCTGACCCACCTCCTATCGGATTGCCTGTTGATATATCTGACTTTTTGTCAAACTATACATCAGAAACTAGAATTCCTGAGAACAAGGAAACTATTGGAACCGAATTAGATGAACCGGGTGTCAGTGGTGAACCTGCATCTAGCCCTGGATTACCATCCGCAGATCCTTTATCACTCTTTACACCTACCCCTGCTGCAAATCGCCAAGTTCCTCCTGGTCCAGCTACAGCTACTAATCCAAATCCTACAGAAGGAAATCTGGTTGACTTGCAAAGTTTAGGTGTTGATATTGAATCATTGACAAATTTCTTATCATCAAATTAAGAAATACAAAATGTGTATGTAAAACAATAGAGAATGACAATGTTGACCTTTTTTTTTATCAAGAACACACTCTGTACATTCATATGGTGAAGAGTGGATTCCAAGTGCCATGTTCTGGACATGCTTTTTTGATCATTTTGGTCAATCTTGTAATCCAAGGTGTATGATCAGATGAATGATCATAGTTGACTAGGTACAATACCCAGAAATCAAGGTATACAGGGTATACCAAAATTATAACCAGATGGAATTTTAGTTTTTCTAATCAGAGCAAGAAGATTTGATTCCAAAAACCCCAAAGAATAGCAGGTTTAACTTCATTCTTGGCTCAGAGTGCAAATAGGTATGTTGAAGACTATAACAAATGTAAAAATCCAATTAAGAAACCAATGCTTGAGAAGATTAGAGTTGAGAAGATCAATCGATAAGTTGAGTGTTGATCAAAGTTGGTATTAGCTGAACTCAAGACAGTAACAGTGGCCACTATGATCAAAAGGATGAACCAGCTACATGTCAGATTCGATAGGATCTCAGATTCATTCAAGTCATCAACTCACCCGCGACACCTGGAGGGTATATTGTAGTTGTAAAAGCTCCATTATGTCCATTTTTATCTAGTGTGATCGTGTTGACGGCTGCACTAGGTTGAGGAGGGCCAGAAAGGTTTCCTTGAAGGACCACTACGACGGTAGGAGAACCAGGGCTAGGAGTGAATTGGGGTTGACCTGGTGTAACGAATACAGTTTTGGTGGCATAAACTTTTTCAAAGCAAAGGATAGGATCATCGGATATCAACTTAAGAGTTGTGATTTGATATTGAAGGTCTGATGAGCTTACCAGTGTCTGTGCCTGGGTACGAAGGTGGGGGGACCACATTGTCGCGCGGTTGAAGCCATCGTTTTGCTCGATTATGCTCTGGATCAGCGTGTCCGATCGAACCTTCTAAGACCAACTGGTTGGTTGATTGACTGGATTTCTTACTGTCTGAAAAAAAGTATCGGAGAGGAGAAGAATCTAAGGGGCGCTGATCGGTTTCTTCAGATTCAATGTCGGATGAGGATGTATCTGAGGTTTGAGATGAGTCTTGCAGATCGTGAAAGATGATCGGAGGTGATTCGACTTGAGAATTTGACTCAGTGTCAAGTAGAAGGTGATGATTCGTTTGAAGCTGACTTGAGTATGAGTCTTCCTGTTCAAGTTCAGATGAAGATGAGGCGATGACTGATTGATGTTTGAAGTTTGATTGGTCTGATATTTTCTCATATCCATTGAAAGCACCTTGTTTGTTGATTCGATCAGGTTGTAACTCATTCAGATCGAGTTGACAATGACAAGATAGAGAAAGGATGAAAACCAAAAGAATTGCAGAAGGAAGAAGTCGTTGGTTTAGTCGACCTGGTTTGAGTTTTTGATTAGTTCGTAAAGTGGTTCGTTGATTAGTCGTAAGATTCAATTTCCACATCACAAATAAGTTTTGACCCTTCGAGTTTTTTGGAAATTGATATTTTGATAAGCGATTTGAAAGGAATTCAAGAAGAAGGTCTATTGGGATATTATATCCAAGCAATGCCCAATTCCAATAAAGATATAGGAGCAAGAGAATCAATAATCAAGCCTTTCAGTTGATACAGCATTAACCGTCAAGTGCCAAATGGTGGAATTCTTTTGAAGAAAAGTTGAACTGCCTGAGATCTTGGTGTGACAGAATTAAGTGAAGAATTCTACTTTTTAAGCGAGAAAGCTTGTGTGGTTCTTTGGCTTCACAGTTTCGACCATTTTTTTTGCACCTTCTCCTGATCAGCTGAAGTGCTTTGTAATTTCCCAGTGACTTCATACTGTTTTTTCGCACCTTGAAAATTTGATCACCACAAGTTCTCATTTGTTTTCCACTCTTCTCTCTTTCATGTGAATGTTTTTGTTTGATCTCATTCCACATGATTGGTTTGCATACCTAGAACAGGAAATGACCCAGGCTTGTCTGAGAAGCGCGGGGTTTCAAGCAAGATAAAGAAAGCAAGAGCTGTGGATTGATGTAAAGTGTTGTCATGCTCGCTTGCTGAGAGGAACTAAGAGGGACTATTAGCCAGAGCATATGTACGGATAGAATGGCGCTCTGCGGCTGAGCCTGCGACCTGCATATCAAGAGCTCGACCCCAATGAGATTGGCGGCGGACTCTAACGACCCGGTGGGTTTTCTGTCTGTGTCCGAACAGCCTTTACCAAGCCCTGGACCGCGACCGGAGTCATCCCCAGTCATCCCCACCTACACAGGGTCGGGTCAAAGCCCCATTAGTTATATAAGATCAAGCTTGAAGCTTGCAGATCTGGATCTAGTTTCAGGATAACGAGACACTAACGATAAGATCATCAACACGGTAGTACCACCACGTACCACCATCACCGGTTAAATTATCAAGCTTTAAAGTTAGCAATATTAAGATCACGATTCTTTACCACACTGGTTTAACTTCAAGCCATGTCTTCTGGTCTCAGCAAAGCCGCCATCGAACGTCATCAGGTTGGTCAACTTGCCGTATCTGCTTCCCGCACTGCATGGCTAATTTCGATCTTTTCAATTCCAGCGTCTCGTACTTGACTTGCTAAAACAGCCTGGCAACGAGGTATGTTTCCACTTATCTCCTTTACTTTGTACAACACTGACTCTCTTGATATTCGCAACCATTTTTCTACCTAGGTATGCGCAGATTGTCGAACGCGTAACCCACGTTGGGCGTCGTGGAATCTTGGGATCTTCATATGTGTAAAATGTGCGGGTATCCATAGGAAAATGGGAACGTACGTTTATATTACAATGGTTCCTTTCATTTCAAAACGCGTGTTTTTGTGATCCTCGAGACGCTGTATAGCTGACCATCTTTTGCGATTTTGTCGAATTGGTTCCTGAACTACATTAGGCATATAAGCAAGGTAAAGAGCCTCACGTTGGACAGCTGGACTAAGGAGCAAGTTGAAGTGAGTGTGAACAACACCTTGCTGTCCGACCGATCAATTACTACTCATGGATATATTGGCGAATTTCTTGGCTAATGAAAATTCATCTGCCTTAATATTTTCTCAGCGGATGCGGTCTACAGGAAATATAAAAGCAAACATGCAATGGAATCCCAACTCCGCCAAGAATCCGTAGGTCACCTTCCGAAACGGATTTTGTGAATTGAAGCTGATCTCAATCTACTATGCATCTTTTCGGGTATTTCACAGCCCCCCTACAGATCTAGAGGAATCAGAACGTGATAGCCAGCTCGAAAGATTCATTCGTAAGAAGTACGAGTCCGCTCAGTTCACCAAATCTGACACGACTATGTCTCCAATCGAAGCTACTCCTCGACTGCCATCGACTATTATCCCCCCAATTTCTCGCCCACACCTCCCATCTAGCTTGGAAGTTTCGTTGCCCACCCGATCATCTTCAGCCGTTGGCCGCCGCAGCGTCACAAGCCAGGTCCATTCAAAACCACCAACACATCAAGGAGTGGACCCCAATACAGCTTACCGGCATATCCCAACTTCTTCATCTGCTCCTCTCTTGCCTCCGATTAGGCCATCCACAGCTCCGATTCCAAATGCTATGAGGGCGGAGCCTGTACCACCCTTACCAGCGTTCCCCTCCATGATGTCATTATCATCGATAACTAATGGTGGATCATCCAATCTGCCTCCAATGCACGCGAACCAAAATCATTCGATTTACCAGCAAGGTCTTCCACCAGTAGTTTCTAACTCATCCACTATCAGAAAAGATGGGATTTGGGGAGATCTCATGGAACTCCAGAATCCTACTAATACTTCTCACACGATCTCTAGTCAAGCACCTTCTGTAGTAGCTTCCATGCCATCTATGTGGCCCACCTCGGCCATGCCACCCATTCCACACTCGGCACCCTCTTACATGACACCTCAGTCAACTACCCCGATGAATCCAATGTCATATACGTCACCAACCAATGCATTCAACAACATCTCTAGCCAGGTCGCCAGCAATCACAACCCTTTCACTTCCGCTCTAGGGCCTACCTCCTTACCTAATATGACATCCACGACTGCTACGTCGATCACACCTTCCCATAACGCCTTCAATATGTCGAATTTCTTACCGCCTCACTTGAGCTCACAAACTCGAACCACCAATCCATTCTTGGGTCCTGTCGGTCTACCAACCGCTCAGAACAATGTATTCACATCTAATAATCCTTTTGCACCTTCTGTTGCTCAGCCTCACACAATTCAAAGCAACGGATCATCCTATCCTTCTATGCAACAACCGACCCATCATTTTCAGCAGCCACTAATGCAGGCAGCAGCACCTTCAAATTTAGCATATCAGCATTCCTATCCTTCTGCTCAAATACCGCATCATCATACCCAACAGCAATCCTCACCTTTTGGATCTTCACTGATGTAATTCCTTTTCCTCTACATCCAATGTGCCAGTGTTGTATATATAAGTGTGTATGTAAGTATGTCAGCAAAGCATTTTTCTTCCTTTGTATGTATGAATCTCATAGGTAAACTTCATGCAAGACAACTTGTCCTTTCTTATGTGGCCTAGTTCTCAAAAGGATAACAATATACCAATCTTTGATGTGCGTACCCTAATTGCATTTGAAGGCAGCGAGGACCGTGGTATCTCCTATAAAGGGTAGTCGTCTGAAAATGTGACTTGTGAGCTCCTGTGGAGACCTGCCCCTGTTAAACTATTAAGACTCACCTTGGCTACACTCATATGTAGCTCTAAGATAGGTTGGGTTGTTCCTTGAAATCAAAAGCAGAGCAAACAAACCTTTCCCAGCTCTCAAATACATACCAATCAGAGGCAGAAAGGGTCAAGATCATGAGAGTGATGTAGTCTATTTGGAAAAGATACGACACATTAGTTAGGGCTGGCACAGTAAATGTGTCATATCTGTACACAGGAGCTCAAAATGAGTGGCATTTTGGCAGATTGGGAAGAGGTGCCGTCACATAAGGTCATAAGTTGTATCATACGCAAAGTGAAATGAGCAATGCAGTTTTTGAAAATCAGGGAAGAAAAGCCACAAATACAATATCAACTGTCTCACATTGGGGGTGGAGCATTTTTTAAAAAGGTCTGCCTATAGTACTCACCTTATTTTTGAATCAGGACTGCCCCCAATGCCCGGCTGCAGTGCAAGGCAGTATAGGCACCACAAAGATATGCTGTGTTGGTAATCGGACTTCTGAGGACTGTGCTGCACTGTGAAGTAGCTCAGTGGGTCAAGAATGAGAATTCAACTGCGCTGCATATACAGAGGTGCAATGTAGCACAGACTCAGTGCAGGGGTGGCAATTCGCAGGCAGAAAATATTTTACACCAACAGGAAACTGGGCTGCAATAAAGTCCTCATGGTGGGCATGGATTTTGAATTTAGGGCCCACCCACTGTACTTTTTACAAATGATCAAAGGTGTGTCTTTTGGATAGGAAAAACCCAAAAAGTAGCCAAGAGAAATGAAAAAATACCACAGAAGAATAGAAAAAACCAGAAAATCAAAATTCTAACCAACAAGATGATTTCATCATCATCTTTTTATATATACTGTGTAACTCTATTACCATGAAAACTACAAAGAAACAAATGGGCTATGTCTATGGAAGCCCTGAGCGGGGGGGTGCCACCTTGACACACAACACAACACACACATCACACATCACAAAATTCAACACACAACACACAACACACAACAGAAAAACACAACACCACATAAAAAACACCAAAAACACCAAAAACAAAAAATTACCAAAAACACAACACAAACCACATTTTTCAAACCCAAGCCCACTGATTCCCCCCCAATTCCTAACTTAACCAAGTCCCTCTTGGACAAACAAGTAGTTGAGAGAGGGACTTGTGCCTTATACCACATCTTTGGCGGATGAGCCGGAAAAGCTTTGGTGGGAACAGTTTCAATCCTCCATATCTCCGTAGCCTGTAAACAAATTTCCTCTGGACCAAAGAAAAAAGCTGTGTGCCTGATCATCCTACACACACACGTGTGTTTTCAAATCCCTCTCTTGCCGCCAGGAAAGCCCTTAAAAACAGACTTGAAGAACTGGTTTTTGTGTAACATTTCAGCGCTTTTGGTGCCAGGTTGGTCAGTTTTCTGCCTGATTTTGGTGTTTTCTACAAACTTCACAATCACATTACTCTGTGAGTTTTCAATAAAATAAGAAGTAGGCTACACACATGTGTGTAGATTAAGTGGGCGCACAGCTTTTTTCTTTGGTCTGAGGAAATTTGTTTACAGGCTACAGAGATATGGAGGATTGAAACCGTTCCCACCAAAACCTTTCTGGCTCATCCGCCAAAGATGTGGTATAAGGTATAAGTCCCTCTCTCAACTACTTGTTTGTCCGAGAGGGACTTGGTTAAGTGAGCCCCGATTCTAGCTACGGGCTTTGTTGAGCTAAACACCACCTCAATTTATTGTCAAGCAACAGCAAGTGACCTCGACTTTTCTCAATCCTTGATTGCTCAGTTTCATCTAACCAACGCTGCCACAGTTACTTTACTGGTATTGTATCGGCAATACCCGGTAAAGTATCAAAAAAACAATACTGTAAAATTCAGTCAGCAGTAAAGTATTGGTTGACCAATACTATACTTGATACCGTATCAAAAACCACGATACCAACAAGACCTACCTTGAGTAAAGTATCTTGAAGCAATACTGTTACTATACTCGATACTGTATTGGTATTTGCGCCACAATACCAATACTGTACTCAGTATCTAGGCCTAAATGAGAGAAATTATAAACCAATACTTCTCCAGCAACTGCTGGGTAAAGTATTGGTTTTCTAATACTTTACTCAATACGGTATTGAAATCAACGATACCATCCCAAGGACCTGGAAGTAAAGTATTGGTCAGACCAATACTAAGTATTGAGATACTTATACTGCAAAAAAGTTACTTTATCGTTACTTTACTGTCAACAGTAAAGTAACTGTGGCAGTGTTTATCTAACAATCAAAGCAATCAATGTTTAGATTATAGAAACAGGTGAACAAGGAAAGATGAGCTTACTACATAGGCCTGTTGAAAATCATCAAATGTTGTACATGTCAGGGAGGTGCTTTAGACTGTCTCAAAAACACTCAATGAAAGTAAAACTATCAATTGATAAACAAACACATCACATCTCAAGAGAAAAATGAGACGTGATTTCACAAAGCCAATCGATGTCATCTTTTGTATCTTTACTAAGCAGATACAATTTTAAAATCTGTTCATACTCATATCTTATCAAATCATACAAATTTGAATCTAATCAATCAGAGTTTTGATTCTTCTTTTAAATTTAAATCTTCTAATTTACTTTTGAATACAAGATCAGTTCAAGATGATCATGAACCATTTGGGATTAGGAATTTAAAAGTAGCCGATTTAGAAAAAGTGAAAGAATTACATGTAAGTCGTCATTTGATTGTTTTCTTTGAAATGTCAAATTGAGCAAAAAAAACTAATGATTAAAATGGAAATTTTGATTTTCTTGTTCAATAGCATTCAACTTTACCCATCACTTATCCTACTTAATTTTTTTGTAATTTATTAATGAAACAAGAAAATGATATTGCATTAGTAGCTACTTTACCATCAAGTTTACCAGCAGGTTATTTTGATTTAAAAGTACAAGAATCAAATTCGAATCAGATCGTCAAACCTGATTTACTTCATACAAACCATCATCATCATCATCTTTTACATCATGTAACTTCACCTTTATCAGGTAAAAACCCGATTTCATTAGATATCATTGGATCTATTACATTGACTTTTAAATCAGACACAAATGAGATTCGGATTTTCACTTGATGTGTTGATCATCAATACCGCAGACATGGATTAGGTTCAATGTTAATCAAAGAATTGATCATCAAAACATGTCAATCAACATGTCAATCAAATCGAGTCTCTTTGCATGTCCAAGCTACTAATTCGACTGCACTGAAGTTTTACTTGAGATTAGGCTTCAAGAAGATGATCTTTAAAGAATCGTATTATTCTAATCAAGCTTTAAAACCTTTGAATCATTCTAGATCTACTACTTCTTCTTCTACTTGTACTTCTTCTACTTTGACTTGCACTTCTGGTGATGGGTTAGATGATGATTCCAATTCAAAGATGATGGTTAAAGATATAGACACTTGGTTCTTGGTTGTGTTTTTGTTCTGTTTTTATGTCTGTTGTGTTGTGATGTGTTTTATGTGGTGTTTTGTTTTCTGTGTTTTTTTGTGTTTTTTGTGCTGTGTTGTGTTTTTCTGTGTTGAGTGTTGAGTGTTGTGTGTTGTGTGTTGTGTGTTGTGTGTTGTGTGTTGAATTGTGTGTTGTTGTGTGTTGTGTACCCCCCTCGCTCAGGGATTCCATATATGTCACAGTGTCATTTTACTAGTCACTGGACTGCCAGTGCCTCAATCCAATATCAAGCCAATATGAGTTCAACATGGGATATGCATGGGCTGCATATACTGGCAGATCTACTCAGTAGTACAACTGAAGATGAAACTTGATCTCCCATAATCTTGCTGTGGCTTCTGTTTAATGGCTGAGTATAGTTATTCATAATTGGAATCTTTGGAATTGTTATCAGCATTATTGTTACTACTGTACAAGTATTCTGATATAGATCTGGAGCTGAATTATGAGATGGGGCCACCAATACCTTGAACATCTATCCACAATGAATGAACTTTAGACCTAGAATTTTCTATGCAGGAAAGTTTAAACCCATGTGGTATTCTTTCATGGTCTTCATCCTCAAATGAAAGACTCCTATTCCCAATCCAATTAAGATTCATGTAATGGGAGTGTGGCTTCACAGAATCAAGGATGCATGATCCTCAACGATTCTGATGGACAGAGTTGTAGAAACCAAAGCCCAAGGTCAAAAGTAATACCTGTATCCTTTTCTCTGACTTTGTGTTATGTTAAAATCTTCACAGTATCTGTTTGGCAACATTTCATGAAAGTATCTTGGATGTCAAATGTAATTGAGAAACAGTTTCAAGTCAACACAGATCATACATGCAACTCTTACAATTTGCAAGGATAAAAGATTGAAAATGTTTTGAAAAAGGAACTCAACTACCAATCCAAGTCCAGATTCTAACCCTGTTACACCATCAACTTCAACTTTGAATTTAAAGAATCCAATTAGTTTATTTATGAAACTAAAAAACCTCCTCAGCCTACCCAACTTAGATTGATTGTTCCTGTAGCTTTAAATCAAACTTCAATCTCAACTTGTATGTCTTGACCACCACCACCATCAAATTTAAGATGATAGATCAATTCTATTTGATTTGGATTTGTCCTTCCTTTTTTGCTTTTCTCATTACACTTTTTTTTCTCATTTGTATTTGTTGCTGATAGGTTTTCATTGTCATTCTTTTGCTTCAGTGCATTCTTGAGCTTTGAACAAAATCAAAATTCACGCTCACACCCGGTGCCACGAAGCCACGAGGCGCCCTGGAGGGGCCGTGGCAAGGGCCAGGGCTTAGGCCACACTGTGGCCCTCACCCCGAGCCCTTCATGGCCTTCACAGATCATCAAATCCAGTTGAATCTCCCCTAAAGATCACCTTAAGCAGGGAGTAGGGGCTTGAAATGGGGATTTGAGGTTGTTAAAAGGGAAGGCCACATTGGGCCACACCACACCAGGCCATGGCCCTGGCCACGGCCAAGAAAAAGGCGCCAGGTGTGAGCGTGAATCAAAATCTGCTTATTTTTTTAAAAGGAAATTAATCACATCATATGAAAAAGGCAAGAGAGAAAATTCATTATTCTTTTGATACATACTGCATTTGAATGAAAGTTTGTAAAAATTTATTTAATTTTCCTTTGAAAAGCGCAAAAATGGCCCCAATTCAAATCACTACCCAAAGCCGGGTCAGCTAGATGGGGACTGATCCAATACCCCATCCAGCACACGGGTGGTTTTCAGGTATATCCCAGCTCAATACCATCAATGATCCACTCATCCACCACCTTTGATTGATATCAATCCGCCACCACACATCAACCTCACATGTGGATTGACTGCAGGCAGTGTTACCCCCCCAATTTAGAAATCAAGGTGAGTTTGTTCTTCTGATTTTTCTCCTTTCTTTGATTCAATTGTTCTTGTTTTTGATTGTTCTTGTTTCTTTTATTAGATCTTTCTCGCTTCTTTCATTCAATTGCCATTTATACTGACAAATTGAATTATTCCATTTCTTTTGTAGGTCACAGGACTACTATCAGCCACAACCAATTGTATGAAAGCTTTTGTATGTGATTTTACTTCAATCATGGTGGCAAGAATCAGTTTTTTTTTGGATATGAAATTTGTTTTGTCTTGTGTTTTGTAAAAATTGTATTTGAGTTGTTTATTTTCTCTTATGCATGCATTTCATTGTGTACTACTTTTTTTGAACCAATCTTGTTTATCATTCGGCTTTTTCAAGGATTTTCAGTCTACAGATACATGAGCTTCAAGGCTTTTGTTTTCATTTGCAACATTTTGAGCTTTTTGTTCTTTGAACATCAGTGGGTGTTAAGGGACAAGTGAATTCAATCATTTGAGATAAGAGATCTCTTTCCACTTGTGATTTGAAGGGTGAACAGTCATAATTTGCATGCTAGATGAGATATGTTTGTAATGAGATGAATAAATAATGAATGAAAAAGAATTGGTGATGATGATACAATACAAATGAGTTTTTAAAAGATGGTAAGGAGATTACGAATGAGTCAAGAAGAAAAGGAAACAATACAATTTCAAACCCAGAAAGGTATCCAGTTGCTCAAAGTAAGAGAGAGTGGCAGAGTTGTAGAATGAGATCGATCAAGATTGAAGCTGATGGGTGTGGTGGATGAGTCAATAGTTTTGAGCCGGGAATTGGCTCAAAACCATTGAAATGCTGGATGGGGTATTGGATCAGTCCCCATCCAACTGACCCGGCTTTGGTTAAATTTCAATTTGTGGCCAATTTTGCACTTTTCAAAGAAAAAAATATCTTTTACAAGCTTTCATGCAAATGCGGCATGTACAGCTATTCCAGGAATTGGTGTTGTGGTCGCCAAAAATCATGGCCTTTTTCCCCCCGCGCCACCGGCCTATACAGGTAGTGCGCAGCACAGCACAGCTGTAACGGGGTGTGGACTCGTATATCCGGCAGGGTCGGATGTCCACATGGACCGCACCAGGAAGTTTGTTTGGGGTTGTTTGCGACATCTGTTCAGTCGGTCACCCCATAACCACTACACTACATTACCCACTACCACGATATCCACCACCACCACATCCACCAATCCACCACCACATCCACCACAATCTTGACCCAAGCTCACGAAACCACACCTCAACCCAAACAGTCAAAGGCCGGTGGCCATTCAAATGTTTGGTCCAAGTTTGGTCATCCATTCTTTCACCTACCACTTCGGTCACGCACAGGCCACTCAACAATCACAGCAACCACAAGTTGACCGATACCACTGACTCCTTCATCCCTTAAAATGATGGCCACTCCGACCGATATCCCCTTCAAGAACCCAATTATTGTCAACAAAAACCCATCCTTCTCAATCATCACTCGCAGCATGGTGAATAGAAAACTTTCTGACGTACCTTTGTAAGCTTCGGCCCTCCAATCTGCCCATCTTCCCTTCAAACTCGTTTTGATCTTCATTCCTATTCTGTTCTATCCTTTTGTCTCAATCACTGAGACGACTTCCTTTGTTTTTCATTTCTTCAGGCCGGCCAAAGGAAGAATCGACGCGGTCTCCCGTGTTCTTCGGACTCGCACGTATTCACAAGCGTTATTGGGACACACGGTCCCTGGATCTCAGTAAGTTGGTTCCCTCATTGCATCAAATGACAGGTGTTGACGTTGGTGTTTTTGTTTTGGCTTGGTTCGGAAGGTCCGTCTTCCCAGCATCCGATGGTCGGATCATGCCTCCCCCTGTGATTGCTCCCTCGCTCTTTGGTGTTTCTTCACCACTGGCGTCTCCTTGCAAGGGTCCTTCCAAACGATCTATACACCCGGACGCCACGATAACCCCAACAATGAAGCCATTACGAAGCGGTATCACGGCAGCCCTCACCCCTTCCTGCTCACAAGCCTCATCGGTGTCCTCTTTGAATCCGCATATTCATCCTTTGATCTGCAACACACCCCTCTCTTCACATACGACCCCGGCCCCTTCACCTTCAACTGTCTGCTCATCTGCGTCAACTGCTGCCAAACGCCAGTCTGAATCGACTTCGTCCCACAAGAGGTCTGCAACGAAGTTCGACCTGGATTCTGACGAACTGGACGAACTTGACGATGGTTAGATCATTTTTTTCAGAAGTCCAACACCCACGTTAAATTAATTGGCCCACTGACGTTGATTCCATTTAGATCTGCCTCTAGACATGTTTGATGACCCCGAAATGCTCAACAATGGCCCTCAACCTGACGATACTACCGATTGTCGCCGGACGTTCCAAGTGTCTTTCAGCATCTGGCAACCTGTGGTTCCCGAAGAAGCTGAATCTTCAAACGGCAAGAAACGTAAAAAAGCATCAGCCCCACCACCTCGGAAACCCCCAGTTCCAAAGTACCTCATAAATTTGTTGTCTCCCAACCCGATGTTCACTTCGTCATCTTCAGGCAGTCACTCTTCCAAAGCTGTGATAAACGAGGCGCTTGGGTCCCTGAGTCCCTTAAGAAAGCCTGGTTCGAAAACACAATCGACATTCAAGGTTTTATACACGGATCTCGTCACCACAAGGCCACCAAATTGGCCATTGACGATTCAGATAGTTTTGTAGAGTTTATGGCAATTGCTCAGTCCGTTCCTGCAACCACCGTCATGGGTTTTAAAATTTACCACGAGAACCCGAAACTTACCACAAACGCCCAACGGAACCTGGAGATCGCTCGGAAAGTCTCTGCCCCCAAACTTCCGTCTTCTGATTCCAAAGATCACCCTGAATCAGACCACTCGGTAGGGGTAAGTCAACCTTTTTTAAATATCCATGTGCGTTCAGTCCCGAGCTCATGCTTATCTTGTTTGTGTAGTCCGGTATCTTGACCCTTGGTGAGCGATACAATCGCAAACTGTGGGCTCGATTTTCCAAAGATTTCACCGGTGGCGAAAACATCACGTACGCACTTAATCCGAAGGACCCTAATCTCTGCGTGGTTCTCAACATTGCCCGCATTCGCACATGGGCTAATGATTGGGTGAGTTTGTTGATTTCTCATTCTTTTCCTTATGAGACATTTCCTAATGAAAACCCTTCTTTTGCACAGGCTGAAGGTGTTGCCGGCGTTGACGAGGTCAATCCACCGTCCAAAAGGCCCGACTTTCGTTGGATTCCCGTTGCTGATTACCAGAAGGAGAAGGACGGGTTGAACGGTACAAAGAAATCGGGCCCCAGCGAAGCGACTCCTACTTCGGCCACAGTCGTGCACCATAACTATTATGGTGCACCTTTCCCGTCAGCCGGAGTCACGCCAGCTCAACCATTCCCTTCGGCCGCTTTCCCGACGCCTCATCCTTTCGCTCCGCCTGGTTTCCCAAGCCCTCCTACCGCTGTAACCGTCGGCACGCCCTCATCTGCTCCCACCACGGAGGCCACTCGTTTATCCCCGCCTCCCGAGATGCCAGTCTTCGAA